ATTCTTTTTCATTGGCTGATTTCTTTTAGACTCAGTTATCTCTGACTCAATGTTATGTATATAGTTAGGGTAGTCGTAGTCAGTACTCCTTAGACTTAACCTCTTCGTTCCTACCCAATGTAGACTCAGATGTTCACTCTCAATATCATCTCTTTCTCTATACTTGATAAGTCCTAGTGGTCGTGTGAAACCTTTACCATTTGGTGAATGTTGATCATAACACCCAGTCTGCACTGAAAATCTTCCACCCCCGGATCCCCGCCTTCATCATCAACTATCCCACCATTGCAATTCTCCTGTGTATATACACAAACTATTGCAAGACAACAAAAATAACCCAGCATTTGAGGTGTGTATTCTCGAGTCTGTGTACATTAGTTACTCAGCCGCTCTCACAAGAAATTTATTCCAAAACTCAAGGACCACATACTGCATTGCTTCCAGGCGCAAGATGGCCTCATCAAATTCTCGGGTGACGACCAAAATCACATTGTCATATGCGACAATGTTCTGTTCTCTGTCAACACACTACGGGTCAATTACACTTCATATGATCTGCAATGCCAGCAAGATTTGATTAACCCTCACAATCACGCTGATATCATGGTATTATCAGGTGATTCTGAATCTCACTCCACTCATCCATATTGGTTCACTTGAGTACTGTGCATATTCCATGTTAACATACTTGATTTACGATTGAGTGGAGCTAACCCACAGAAAAATCAGATGGAGATATTATTTGTCAGATGGTTTGATCCAGTGCAGCGGTACCAGTCAGGGATCAAGACAGCTTGTCTTCCAAAAGTTGCTTTTGTGCCTGAGATGGACAACTCTGCTTTCAGTTTCATTGATCCTGCATTAGTGATTCACGGGGTACATCTGATCCCTGCTTTTGCGGATGGATGGATGCACCAGTCTGCACCACAGCAAAACTCAGCCCAATGCACATGGAGGGAGGATGCTACATGGACTGCATACTATGTCAACATGTAAATTATCATCTCCATTTTTTATTCATAGTCTCATTTGACATACAGGTTTGTGGATCATGATATGTTTATCTGGTTTACTGGTGCTGGTGTTGGTCACGGACCTTGGCAAGCAGATGGTCCAAGTGACAACAAATCTGGTGAGGAGGATGAGTGCAAGGAGGACAAGTGCAAGGGGGACAAGTGCAAGGGGGAATGCCGCACAGAGTTCTACAACCATCATTGATAGAGCTGTGGCTGATCGGGCAGCAACGGAGTGTAGGAGACTTACAAGGCAATGGGAAGCTGTGGTAATTGAGATACGTGATTTTCGAGTGTTCTTGCGATTCCTGCTCCCACTTTCGTGTGAAGACCTGCAAGCAGCAGTGCACCAGGGCCCGGTCAACAGACTCAGCACTAGGACCTGCCATTGTGTCCCAAGTTTGATCAAGGGTGTTGCCTGCAATCTTCCCGCTCCCTTTGTACCTTTGGGGTGCTGCATGCATGCATGCAAAAGTTTGGCAGAGGCCACCAAACTTTTAGCAAATGAGAACTGTTCACTCAGGCTGTGATAATACACATTCTGATTGGTACCTTTTGGCATGTTGACAAAATTTTACTCCTGCAATGTCAAGCTATCCAAACATACATCTCAACAGATAGAAACATGTAATCCTCATCAAATATTTTTCGTCCATTGCTGAGATCAGCCAATGCTCTGGCAGACTATACTGTCATTATTATAGATAACCGACTCTAATTAGAGACAACTTGTTATACTTCCTTGTCACAGACTACTGATGCTTTGATAGATTATCCATTACAGCTCCCACGATGGATAATTTGCCAGACACTCAATTTGGCATGATTCTACTCATTCTGGGGGCTGTCCGTGATGGATAATGGGACAGCCAATACTATTTAGTGTGTTCCTACCCTTCCTGGGCTGCATCACCCTCTTGTGTCTGCTTTGAATTTATCCTGCCCCTCTCCCTGCTTCTCTGCAATCTAGATCTGATCATTCCATCAAAAGAACCAACATGAGTCCTTATGTCAGGCTCCCCACATTATTCCCACACATCACATGTTCGCATTTTTCAGCCACACAGTGTGGGAATTACCCCACAACACCAAAAACATCGCCCATTTTGGGAATCTCCACAATATCAATTATTCTCACACCCTCCCCACCTCAGTGCAGCTTCACCACCACACCACAATAGGTCTCCCTTCATATATAAGTAGTAGTTTGATATATATATGTATATTATAATATAATAGTCCGCTTTTTTTGTTTATTTCTGTGCCTGCTCCTCCTCCAGGGCCCTTTCAAAATAGCCTAGGGTACAGAACACTTACACACTTTTGCCCCTTTGATAGGGAAGTGTTCTATTGTATTCAGGACATATTTGGGAGTGTATATGAAGAGATTCCCCCACTTTTTTGACCCCCTGAAGCGCCCTACATCAATAGATATAGCTTATATACAGGAAAATACAAAATATGTTCCCATGTTACAATGTATTTCTAGATAGATATACTTGGAAAAATTATCCCCAGCATTTATTAAACAGCAGGAATAATGTATAAGGAGCCCAGGACCATAGGAGAATCCCCTGTTCCATAGTGCACCCTCCCTCTCCTGGTGGTTCACCCCCTGTGAAAATTTTTCCTGTAGGGTCGGACCTTCAGAGTGGTGGGGAGTCTATTCCTATGCATATTCAGAGTATATCTATCATCTAGCTACCATAGGAAACCTATAGGGTCGTTCAACAGGAACAAAATATGTAAAATCACATTTTCGACATTTTTGATGTTTTCAATATCTCACCCTTGCACACATGGTCCAACCTGCTCATATATATATCATTAGTTGTATATATATATATGCTTTGTATACCAAAGATCAGTTTAAAATGGGCCGGAGTTTTGAGCTAGTGTGTATACTTGCTATTTCTACTGATAAGGGGCCCATACTTTTGATTCATCGATGTTTATTAATCGGACACCTGGGATACCTCTAATACATATCCCTGATTATAGCTTTAACGTTTTAGAAAGATCCATCAAGGATTGAGTGAATTACAAGCAAAATAACATATATGTGAAAAATGACAATTGACATCTGTTCACACAAAGTCACATTTATATATGATACAGGTCGAAGATTTCATTAAAAATGTGTAAGATACATGATAGACTACCTAAGGAACCTATACTACATACTGCCCTGAGGGCAGAATGTTGATGGGGGGGATGTGGTGTAGAAGTGTTTGAATTGGTGGCCCATAGCAAAGTATACACCAACTGATCATTTTCGATGTTTTGAACTTCAGGACATTTAAAGTTTCCCACACTTGATTTCTTATCTATTTCACTTCCCCAGCTCTCTATTCTGGGTGGATCTTTCTGTATTTTTGAGTCCATGATATGGAATATATGTGAAATGTACTCCAGGTGTCTGATTATTAAATTTCGATGAATCAAAAGTATGGGCCCCTTATCAGTAGAAATAGCAAGTATACACACTAGCTCAAAACTCCGGCCCATTTTAAACTGATCTTTGGTATACAAAGCATATATATATACAACTAATGATATATATATGAGCAGGTTGGACCATGTGTGCAAGGGTGAGATATTGAAAACATCAAAAATGTCGAAAATGTGATTTTACATATTTTGTTCCTGTTGAACGACCCTATAGGTTTCCTATGGTAGCTAGATGATAGATATACTCTGAATATGCATAGGAATAGACTCCCCACCACTCTGAAGGTCCGACCCTACAGGAAAAATTTTCACAGGGGGTGAACCACCAGGAGAGGGAGGGTGCACTATGGAACAGGGGATTCTCCTATGGTCCTGGGCTCCTTATACATTATTCCTGCTGTTTAATAAATGCTGGGGATAATTTTTCCAAGTATATCTATCTAGAAATACATTGTAACATGGGAACATATTTTGTATTTTCCTGTATATAAGCTATATCTATTGATGTAGGGCGCTTCAGGGGGTCAAAAAAGTGGGGGAATCTCTTCATATACACTCCCAAATATGTCCTGAATACAATAGAACACTTCCCTATCAAAGGGGCAAAAGTGTGTAAGTGTTCTGTACCCTAGGCTATTTTGAAAGGGCCCTGGAGGAGGAGCAGGCACAGAAATAAACAAAAAAAGCGGACTATTATATTATAATATACATATATATATCAAACTACTACTTATATATGAAGGGAGACCTATTGTGGTGTGGTGGTGAAGCTGCACTGAGGTGGGGAGGGTGTGAGAATAATTGATATTGTGGAGATTCCCAAAATGGGCGATGTTTTTGGTGTTGTGGGGTAATTCCCACACTGTGTGGCTGAAAAATGCGAACATGTGATGTGTGGGAATAATGTGGGGAGGCCTGACATGAGAAGAATAGCTGAGTTTTAAAAATGCGAAAAATGTGGCTGTGTATATTGTTCAGTATGGAAAGTCAGACAACCGTGCTCACATTTGTAAGCATTTTTTGTCACATGCATCACAAAGACTCCGAACACCTTAGTGAGACATAATTAAAGTTTATGACAGTGCTGCGGAGCACACAAAGAATCTCGAAATTCACAAACTAAGTACAAGGCAAGAAACCACATCTATATATTGTGCACAACATTTCCCAATCAAACGCGTCTACATAGTCATTCACTAGCTAGCCTCTAGCTCCCCCACTGACACTGCTGGTGCTAGCTCCCCCACTGACACTGCTGATACTAGCTCCTCTGCTGACACTGATGGTAACCAATACTAGCTCCTCCGCCAACACTGATGGTAACCGTTCAAGTCCAAAGCCACTCCATGTACAATAGTCATTACAAAAATGTTTTTTCTCGAACATACTGACTTTGATCTCTAAGTTGCCGTCGCCAAATATGTCCTTGCCTTGGCTGACTGAACTGAAGTTCTTCAGTATCATAGTGTGTGCTTGTCTGAAATGGAGATCACGTACGGGTGCGTCAGGACTTGAGGGTCTGTAAGAATCTCAGCATCACCTTGAATATAAAATTTTCATGCTAAAATCAACGTACAATATCAAAAAGTATGCACCCTGATAGTCTGATATAAAAGCCAAACTGCCAGTCTTGGCATACTGGATGTGCTGGGTACAAGCCAAAAAAGCGGCTATGTCATAGCTGAACTCATCCACATCAAGCAATGGATTACAATCCATATTGTGGATATACTTGATGAAGTTCCTACTGTCATCATCACCGATCAGTTCCTCAAGCAGAAACCCGGCCCGAGGGGAACATCCTTTTGACTTCTGGTTAAGATCAGACTGCGGTGCCTGACTGTATGACAGTGCGAGGCCTGCTTCAATGAAACACAACCGAGGGATTGTAAAGGGTGGAGGGTCGGTTGAGCGGGCAATGCAGTGATCGATGTAGTTATAGGCGAACTCTAGAAGTGGGCCTGCCCAGTATAGCACATTTGCTTCTCGAAAGAGTTTCGGAATTTCATCAGCTACTGCATACCGCCCAATAACATATCTTCCAGGGGCCTTGCTGCTTCCTGGAGGGTAAATCTTGTGAAAAGGCCGCTTGACTGCCACTTTCTGACGGGGGCATGAACCAAGTCCAGACTCTGGAGCTGCAAAGAGCGTTAGCCAACTGGGATGTGCCGTCTTGAATCCACCAGCACCCAGCATGTTGTCTGAGGAGATGTCGATGGTAAGTTGGCCGTTATAGCACGCCTCAGGATCCAAGCAAAATGCGTGGTACTGCGGCTTATCCAAAATCTCAGACAAGGGGCACTTCGGGATAGGAAAGAAATGTATGTTTTCGTTCTGTAAATTAAGAACTAGCACACACATTAGATTACATATGATAGATGATGGTTTCTCCTACCTTGGCGGACGTCTAAGTCCGCGGTACCCCCTGACTGTAAAACATCCCTCAAATGATTGCGATCAGGAGAGCAAAAGTTTGGCGCAGGTTTCTTGTGAGGAGGTGAGGGAGAGAGACTGCTACTGCTACTCTGAGTCTCAGATCGAGATGGCCTCTTTGAAGACACTTCAGATGATGGAGCGACTGTGCTGTGAAATAGTGAGGTAACGACTGGTGAAGCAGGATGGCGGCGGCGATTGATATCTTCCTAAATATGAGAGTTATATGTAAACATAATATATTGTATTAGACGGCAAAGCACGAACCTCTTCAATCTTATTGAGCCATGATTCATAGTCGTTCCACTGAGCCATGGGCATGACAATGGATACTGTAAAATGTCTTGTTTTGAATACCATAGCACGTGAACCTTTGCGAGAAGGATGCAAGCATTGTGAGTAAAAGTATGGCACATTTTCAGGGTGTGTCGCCAAATCAACCCAGCCTCCATCACGAACTATGAATTTGTCTTGGCGCCACAGAAATCCTGGTGCAAAAGCCTTGATCTTCAGTCCGATAGTATCAAGCACAAGCGCAACAAGGCCAGGTGCGTCGATTCGGGCATCAACATCCTTCTTGCCCTCACAGATGTTCTGAAAGGATATAAGTCAAAGATCTGCTAGTCCTAGTTAAATATGACGTACCCCAAACCCAATTCCACGACCACCCTTCCTCTTGTTGCCACCCTCTCGAACTGCCAAAAGCTCTAAGCTGATGGTTTCTGCGGGAGGCGTAGAGTACGCTTTCTTGGCCCAGTGATCTCGTTGCGCATCATACTGTGCATGATTCACAGAGTAGCCGGGAACTGGAGCAGCATAGATGGCAGAGTGAGATTGCTGAGGATGGGAATTCTGATGCGAGCTGGACGGGATAACTACCATGGGCCCTGCAAGTGGATTGCGTTCATAGGACATTGCAACCACAGGAGGCGGTTGTATGGACACTGAGACATTTAAATTGCTCAGCTGGTAATGATGAAGAGGGAAAGGGGGAGAAACTACTGACAAGATTGTTGTGCAGCATTTACGGACTGCCGAATATCCTGCAGGTCAGGAGAATGTCTGCCTGCGAGTCTTACTCCACTGGGTCATACTCCGGTGGCAGCCTTGCGCTGGTAGCGTTGGTAACATGCCCCACAAACAAACCGTCCAGGTTGCCCATGGACTACTGTGGCAATATAGTGGCAAGGTTCTCCCTTATGGATTTTGGCGGCACATGAGGGGCGTTGGCATACACTGTCTCCTTGCGCATTAGCGTCTTCAGTGAATTGCATAAATACCTCGAGAGACACCATGGAGAATGGGGAGAAGATACTGAGATTTAACAGATACCAGACAGCTTAAATACTCACTATACTGCATCTACTGATGGTTCTATTGATCACGGTGTGAGTCTGGACACCATAAGACCGGTGAGTCCCATGTCAAATCAGACTGATGCTGCAAGACCGGACACCGCGATACCTTATGTTAGAGATGGGCGATACTCATTTGGTGTTGATTGTAACTCACTGGATCCAAGAGGCGACCAATACTCGCTATACTGCATCTACTGATGGTTCTACTGATCATGGTGTGAGTCCGGACACCATAAGACTGGTGAGTCCCATGTCAAATCAGACTGATGCTGCAAGACTGGACACCATGATACCTTATGTTAGAGATGGGCGATACTCATTTAGTGTTGATTGTAACTCACTGGATCTAAGAGGTGATAGGGATAGGCGATACCTGACACATTAATAGACACATTAATATGTATTTTGTGTTCTGAACATGACACCGTACGCACCACCGTAGTTCCACCTCCAAGCCTAAGGGACTCGACTCTCGACTTTACACTCTTTTCGCTATTGAAAGTGGTGAGTCGTGACTTAATGTAAGGCCGGCTCATTCCTGTTACTGTATCCGATGTTTGTAATAAGCAATGCATTGCATCCCTATCTCGGATCCAGAACACTTGCCTTCTCTTCGTGTTGCGCTAATCGGGAGACACATTTCAACAACGCACCCAAATCTGAGTCGATCCTCATCTGCAGGGATGACCGCAGCAGGAACAGGAGAGACTTCCGATGGTGATCGAGGTTCCGTTTCAGCCTGTGGTATTGGTGAGTGGTCTGTATTTCTGGCAATCCAGCGCCATGCTCGTGGAGAATCAGTAATATAGTGACTCACCTGCAGCCTTCTTGATTCTGCAGAAATCCTTGGACTCCTAGGGCTTCATACACACTTCTGTGGCATTGCGACTGTGGCAGTCCTCGTGCGGATCATTTGTAAGTATGCTGGAACAGTATTTAACGACGCTCAACCTCTGCAGCCCATTCGATATGCCTAATCAGTATAAACCCACCCGTATGTCTACATTCAACATGCGTCCAAGTCTGACGACAGTTTTTCTAGCGCTGCTAGATGAGATCGCGCCTCACATTCTCCGGCTGTGGAAGACATGTCAGACCGACAGGAACATGGTCCACATTCTGCGGCAAAAGCATATCGACACAGAACATTATGGTATTGGGTGTGTACACTCGTGTTAGAATATCATTACCGTCTAACTCATCTCTTAAGGCTCACCAAGTTGAGAGAAATTCGGGAGGGCATGGGCCTCCGACGGACACGCCAGCAAGGTCATACCATAGAGTCTATCCGTGATGCTATGATCGATCTCCGTCAGATGTATCTGAAAGCTGGAATCCGCGAGGTGATCAGTCTCCTGTTCCATGAAAGGGATATGAGTGTTGCAAGGTCATGTACCAGTCTACTCCTTCCGCATTTGTTTAAAAACTGACTGATAGTTGAAGGAGTGTAGTATCCTCGTATTTCGCTGTCTATGAGCCTGAACTCGTACGTGAACGTAAATCCAGGTGCCTCAAGAGGAGGCGCTTCTGGGCAGCAGGCGTGAATGATCTATTCGCAGTAGACCAACATGACAAATGGTTGAGGTTTGGTCTTGGTCTCCATACCGGGATCGAACCATTTTCTGGGCGAATTATGTGGATTTGCGTATGGCATTCTAACCGAAATCCGCAGCTCATTTTATCCTACTACCTCAATACAATCGAGGAACTTGGTTGTTCGTTCTCTCATTCTTTATCTCATGCAAATTTGCTGTAATACTAATGTTATACCACTGTAGATATGCTGTTGATCACACAGAGTGATCTAGGCACTGAAAACTTCAGGATTGCCAATGCTCAAACTCTCCTTCGTCAGTGCTATGATCCCGACCTTCGAGGAATGCTGCAGCACCGCTGGATGCGTTCCAAAAAAAATGTCATGCCCGAAATTACCTGGTCCCAGTTACGACGATGTTTCACACCGGCCTTTGAGACACTTCTTGATCACGGTGTCAACGAGGGTTGGTATGACGTCAGAAACACTCTTCAAAAGTTTGTATCTTTCATCTTAGTCTCACTATGTGATAAATATAATTTCGTGCATCTTAGTATGGTATTTTGCTGGGTATTTATCCCTTGGCTTCAGCAAGAATTAGATGTGTATTGGGACCGCATCAATAATACAGCCAGGAGGTGTGATCGAAATAAGGCAGGTACATTCAACATCAGTGGCATCATCTGACCTTCTATCAGATACTCCCACACGGTGTCCCAAGCCTCATTTACGACTCCCCCAAAGACTTCAATGCTTTAGATTTCAAGGTAAGTCTCATGAGTCATGTTGGATGTGGATGATTGGATGACATGTGCTCTAGGTTACCATAGACCGTGATGGCGTGGATCATGTCCGTGAACTTTACATCAATTCTGCTCATCCCGTGTTCGACATCGTGCCACCCACACTTGGGGACTTTATTCAGCACTGTTATGATGAAATGGGTTGCCCTGAAGTCACACGCACGAATGTTTGGATAGTTTATAGGAACTTACTCTCCATCCTGCAACTTGCGGATAACGTACCACCCACTTTATTACCAAACGAGGCTGAGGAAGATAGTGTATTGCCTTTACTTGAGGGCTGCTCCGATTTACCATTCTGTGAGGAGCCAAATGGCCCTTACTATATGGGCGGAGTGGGTGGTGGGTTAGGCTTAGGTATGGGGTATAATTCTGTTCAATTTGGCTACCCACTGATGTCCGTGAAGATACTGCCCATCACAGTGAGCTGGACACTCTAGCTGATGCAGATGAACCCGACGTCTCACATCCCATCGAACAACCAGATTTCGATCATACAGGGTTGGTAATCTGGGATTTCTCAGACAATGAAAGCATTGAAGCTGCAGATGAATGGTGACCCTTGCTCTGTGTTATATTTTTCCTGGCATTAGTTTGTTGTGTATCTACTATCTTGGCACTATAGATGTATCTGGTTTCTTGTCTCGTACTTAGTTTGTGAATTTCGAGATTCTTTGTGCGCTCCGCTGTCATAAACTTTAATTATGCCCCACCAAGGTGTTCGGAGTCTTTTTGATGCACGTGACGAAAAATGCTTACAAATGTGAGCACGGTTGTCTGACTTTCCATAGTTCAGATCTCATAGGAGATCACAATCGAGATCAAGAATATCAACTATTATATAAGCGGGACAACAGGTACAGAGCAGCAGGAGCAAGGTAATAGATAATGGATAATGAAGGATATCCTCAAGGGTCCATGACAAGGAAGTATAATCACATGTCTCCAGTTAGCCATGGTTATCCATAATACTGCCAGGAGCAGGTGGCTCTGGTCATATTACTTAATGTTTATGCCATTAGCTAGTGCATGGTTCGATTGCGACAAAATGACTGTTCTTTATAAGTCATGGATATAGAATGAGAAAAGTGCAGTCCAAGAGTTTGCATTCTATAATGTAAAACATAATTTACTGGAAGTCCCTCAGCTTTACAATGCGATGTCGAGCTATGTACACCCATGCCTTGATAGACGCTGTTATGTAATCAACATCAGGTCATAGCGAGTTACCTTCCATTCAGTGATGTACGTGTAACGTAGTATAAATAGGTACAATGGAGAAATCCGAAAGTACAAGTGAAACAATCCTCCTATTGCTATCTATAAAGCATCGTCTCGAACCTCTCGCTCGTATCCCTCATTTATATGATATCCCAACAGCGGCAATTAATATCTCGTAATCCCGACCATCAAGCAAATAATTTACAGCTACCTTCATATCGATAAGACCAGATTTCATTTTATTCCCCTTACCACTTCTGTTTACTTGTCACGGTGCAGCTCGACAAACAAAAGGGTCCCGCTCGTTACGATATTTGGGCGCGCGAAGTACCCCAGAATGGTAAGCTCGGAGTCCGCTTTATATTGGTCACTGAGCTGCGACAACGTGTGTCTGTCACCTCTCACAGTGCACGACTATATTGATTGACAATATTGTGGTGCCATGATGTACCGCTAGACTAGACCATTGTCTTTATGATTGACCATGCTGATTCCTCGTAGTGACACGAGTTCAGTGTTACTCGGAGGTTTCAGCATGCTCCACTCAGGGCTAGCAACTGGTCATTAGCGCGATGGCTTTCTCTTCGAATGACTGGCTCAGTGATGTCAGGATGATCCGACCGATCAGAGCGTCGGATGAGTGACCATTTTGGGGTACTTCGCGCGCCCAAATATCGTAACGAGCGGGACTCTTTTGTTTGTTGAGCTCCACAAGTAAACAGAAGCGGTAAGGGGAATAAAATGAAATCTGGTCTATCGATATGAAGGTAGCTATAAGTACGCCGTTTACTCATTGTAGCCTATTGACCCCCCCTCACAATGTAACCGAAACTAGTACTAGTGTTGGTCCACTCTTGGGCCCCGATATAAAAACAATGACCTCCTTCTATCACTAAGTCTGTTACCAAGTTCTACTTTGTTACCATCCTTTGCTCTTACAGCCAATGCGTTCTTTCCTTCTACCAGTCCTTTCATTTACACTTGGCCTCGCCGCTAGTGCCATTGCCGACCCCATAATCTCTCGTTGGCAGCTTCACGAAAAACGTTCACATATACCCGCAGGATGGACCCGCGAGCGAACGCTCGATCCGTCTGCCTCGATTCCTTTACGATTTGCGCTTGCCCAGCCAAATATCGAGCATATCGAAGCGCAGCTCTACGAAGTTTCGCATCCTGACTCACCCAATTACGGGAACCATTGGTCTCCAGGTCAGGTTGCAGCCAAGTTTGCGCCAAGTACCGAATCTATCGAGACCGTGCGCACATGGTTGATCGAGAGCGGTGTGGAACCCCACCGCGTAAAAATCTCACCTACGAAGGGGTGGCTCGAAGTCACTTCTACTGTCGAAGAGGCTGAAAATCTCTTGCTTGCTGAATACCATGTTTACAATCATTAAACGGGTACAAAACATATCGGTTAGTTTCAAGTTAGATTCATGTCCATACGACCTAATTTCAAATTTTAACTACAGCCTGCGACAGTTACCATTTGCCAGAGCATGTCGGCCCGCATGTCGACTTTGTGACACCGACCATTCATTTTGATGTCAAGATTCGAAAGCGTAATCAACACAATAGAGTCCCGATCGGTCAACCTGGTCAGGGTAGCGGTCCCAAGACGACCGGTGCAGTCCAAGACATCATCAGTCAACTCAAGGATTGTGATAAGCAGACCACGCCAATTTGCTTGAGGACGCTATATGGACTTTGGTATCAGCCAGTCTCCGGTAAAAACAACAGTTACGGAATTGGTATGTGCACTAGTCGTGCAATTATGCGAGGGGCTGACGACCACGAAGTGGAGTATACCCCACAGGCCTATCTCCAGTCTGATCTCGATATGTTCGCAAAGAACTTTTCAACTGGTCTCGAAGGTGTTTCCCCTACGATGGTTTCAATAGATGGAGGTACTGTTGCAAATTATTCGCCGCAGAAAGCGACTGACTAAGTAGGTCGTGTTAGGCTACCTCCAGACTACAAACATGTCTTTTGACTACAATGGGGAATCTAACCTCGACCTCCAGTATGGGATGACCCTGGTCACAAAGGGACAAGACGTCACTCTTTACCAAGTTGGAGATGCAGTTGAAGGTATGAAGATGACCGGTAGGTCCAACATGCGAGGCTGACTGCGCTGACATTTAGGTGCTTCTTTCAATACCTTCCTTGATGCCCTTGATGGAGACTATTGCACTTACGACGGCGGCGATGACCCCTCTCAGGATCCTGTTTATCCTGACACCGCCGATGGTGGATACACGGGTAAGATTTTATATATTTTACCATATTTTAATTATATTTCGCGGCACAATGTAGGCACTGAGGATTGCGGAACTGTCAAGCCCGCCAACGTCATCTCCACGTCCTCCGGATACAACGAGGCTGACCTCTCTGCCGCCTATGCTATTCGCCAATGCAATGAGTACGCAAAACTCGGCCTCTTGGGCGTCACCGTCCTCTACAGTTCGGGAGATTCGGGTGTTGCAGGCAGTAACGGGTACTGTTTGAATCCCGATGGTAACGCAGATTATCTTGCATAGTATCATTAAACCCCGGACTTATTTTGTTGTCGCAGGTACTCAGACCGCAGATGGTGCAATCTTCAATCCCTCCTTCCCTGCTACATGTCCATATGTCACTTCGGTTGGTGCCACTCAAGTCAGCCCCGGCTAGTCTGTATGGGCCCCCGAAAATGCGTGTGAGCAGATCATCTACTCTGGCGGTGGATTCAGCAACTACTTTGGTATGCCCGACTATCAGAAGGGAGCGGTCGAAGGGTACCTACTACCTAGTAGCTAATCCGATCTCGTATTCGAAGAATATTTACAACTCCACCGGAACGGTACGTTTCTTAGCAGTGTACTTAAGGACAGTCCTGAGAGTTGTCGCAGTCTCGCGCATATCCCGATCTTTCTGCCAATGGAGCGAACTACGCCGTTGCTGTTGATGGTAACTTCACTCTCGTCTACGGAACGTCTGCATCTACACCTGTCGTCGGTGCTATCTTGACCATGGTGAACGACGCTCGCCTCGCGCTCGGTAAATCAACGCTCGGGTTCATCAACCCTACTGTGGGTCACATCACCCCTTTGTTTTTCAAATTGCTGCTGACATTGCACACTTATGAAGATCTACTCTGTTGATTTCGCAGGGGGTTTTAAGGATGTCACCAACGGAACGAATCCGGGGTGTGGCACTGTGGGATTCAATGCGACCAAAGGTTGGGATCCTGTCACTGGCCTCGGGACGCCCTACTTTCCTTCACTGCTTGCCAAATGGCTGGCTCTCAAGTAAGCTGTTTCTACGCAGAGGACTTTCAACTGTACTCGGACTCGGATTATATCCATACCCTCCCTCGCTGACGTGAATGACTACTTATTGGAATACCTATACGTGCCTCTCTAACCCTTGTATTGGACGCGACGCAGTGCTCTCTGTTTGAGGTAAGCTTGTACGACCAGTTGTTCAATCCTGGTCGAGTGATAGATTCAGTACACGTATTGATAGAAGGGGGACAAGTAAGTAACCTTTGCTTCACCATCATAGCTGTTCCTTGCCTGAGTACGCCCTTGAATAACTGCGCCCCGAGGCCACGGTATAGGGCGAAGAATCCGCCAGCGGTATAAATTCCTAGGAGTGACGATCGAATTGAAATGTACTGTGATGAATTGTTGGCGGAATTAGATATACGAGAAGCTTGTACCACAGTCTTTGCGAGAAGCAGTGGGTATAACATAATGACGGCTTTGTGAGTCGCGTGTTAGTACTTGTTTGACAACAGCATTGGAGACGCGACTCGCCTACGGAATTTGCAAGCGCGCCTCCTAGGAAGGAATGGCCTGGGGGCGGCGCAGCGCGTTCTTTACCCTTGAGCATCACTCGTCTATATTGCTGGAACAGATAGAGCGTGACCGCGGGGTTGAGTGAGAGGATAAAATTGGATGAGAATCCTATGGCCATTATCATAAGTGCTGATAGCCGAGTGAGCGCTTCATGAAAACCAAACCTTTCCAGAATCCACGCAACCCTTCTTCCCGAAGGATTTGTTGACAAACCCCCGTGAATCGCGACGCTTCTCCTTGTGCTGAGGAGTCCTCGCTCATTCGAGCAGTCTGTAAGCGCACCGTAACGAGATTGAGAGGTGTCGTGATGGATCTGCTTGCAATGCCTGCTGCGTAACCAATTGCAAGCTCCTGTGGAAGAGACAACATGGCTGCCTTCGATTTTCCATTTCCACGAACGACGAATTCTCGCAGGAAGGAATACACGTAGTAATACAGAAAGCTAAAACGATTATGAACTACTCTTGATTCTTAAACGCAAGTTGTAGAAGCTACTGACCTTGAAAGCAGGGTAGCACCGGTGTCCGCCCAAATGCCGTCGTAGAACGATGATAGTCCATAGGTGTGAATCTGCTTGCGTATGGATGTACCCTTTTCCGTGGCCTGTATACGGGTTGTAATGAGATCGAGAGGGTAGGTCAGCGCATTGGCGCTCGCTGCACCTAGCGAGCCTGATGCTGCCTGAACGAAAGGTGGTAGAACGCTGGTCATGATAGTCGAGTTTGGGAGCAGCTGATCAAGACAGAACCTGCGAACCACACAAGCGCTTTAGCAGTAGTGCAGGCGAACAAGGTGGTAATCACATGCCAGCGCCAGCGCATATCGTGAGACGACGCTAACGCTGTATGGAACTACCATACATCAACTTCGTTTCGACGTTGCATCAACCTCGAATTCTCATTCAAGAAAGAACAATCGTCTTTCTTCTACTCGGTATGACTATGGGCCATGGAGAACATCTTATCCAGTCTAACTTTGGGGCCTCCCAAAGTCCCCCGACTAGTGACCAGCTGCCGGTCGTCAGTTTTCTTTCAGGCACGAATACCCTCAGTAGTACACAGAACTACTGAGGACATTGAGAGGACAGCCGCGTTCTTTCATTTTTGAGTCCAAGTAGTAAATATTTATCCACATACACGACGTTCCTGCTGGGTTCCCCGTGGAGCGACCCCAGCAATTCTCCCTTCGAGCGAATAACTTGCTACGGTGGCAGGTGGCCAGCACGCGGAACGTCGGTGCATATTGGTGCTACCTTGTAACTGAACTCATGCTGGTGAGAAAACAGAACGATGCACAAGGGACAAACTCATCTCGCCTCCGAGTCACGACGAGACAGTTGTCCTCAGACTCTTTGCAATTATGCATGTTGCTCACTTCTGGTTTCGTATTCGATGATGGTTCGCGAGTGGAAGCCGACCTTGTCATCTTCGCAACTGGGTACGTCCTCCAACGACCTATCAGTCTGATCGCCAAGCCCAGCTCGACTCGGAGGTTCTCAAATACCACAATTACAGTCAAGAACATTTTCGAGCCCAAGGTTGCAGATGATATCCACGACTTTGGGGGTGAGATAAAGATTGGGTGTCAGTATGACTTCCAAACCACTCCTGCTTTGATTTGATCGTGCTACTCAGGCATGCTTGTTCTGTTGACAAGGGTCTTTTGTTTGCAGAGGGCAATCTCTTCGCTACACGACTTTTACTCCCTGTCCTCGGATTACTGATAAAGGCGAGGGAGTTGTCCAAATAAGAGTGCCTATACCACTGGCTGACATGTGCTTCAGTATCTCAGCAAGAATCACCATGCGCCATCCTCTGCCATTTCTACCGGCGCAGGGTGGCACTTCACAGGATGCGAAAGCGCTCCATAATATCTGGGACATGCGTCGCAGGAATAAGTGGGCTTTCAATGCGACGAATGCAGGCACATAATTTCAACCCGGCGATCTACAACATCATGCATGTGTCCACAGAGAGATGTGTGACGTAATTGCCAGATCACATTTGCTTGCGAAGGCTGCATTCCGTTTGAATTAGCTTAGGTTTGAACATCCAGTCTCTTTGACCTTTCGTGGCGTGTACGATTGCATCGGACTGAAAAAGCATTCCCGATAAGTTCATCCATTTCATTTAGAATCCTTCTTGAAATATTTCCCGGCGAGGATATGCTGGCAGTCCCACTGCCAGCACCAGAATGCATCACGCAACAGATGGCAATGTGGTACTCGCTCATTGTATATTTATAGAGTACAGTTGGTACGTTTTTAACTGGCGGTTTGGCTCAGTCGACAACTAAGATGTCTTCTTTAACGCAAGGCCTCGTCCCACGACCAGGACTTGACCTCGGGGACACATATGGAGTACTTTTTATTGGGGCTATCCTTTCAGCACTGTGAGTAAGATGCATTTGCTTACTATGCAGATAAATCTGAGCACTTTCTGTCATCGTGACTTATCTCACGGAACAGTCTATTCGGTCTAACCAACGTTCAAGCTTTTATCTACTTTCAGACGCATACGAGCGGAAGGGTAACATTCTTTAAGCTGGTCGTACGTCTATATCGCCTTCTCGTCAGTTCTGTTGTTGATCCTACGTCAGGTGATCTGGCTTTGGTAGGTATCCCTTAGAATTGCAATTATCGAGCACGTCAAAATTATACCGTATCCCTGAATTTTTAGGACACTTGATGCTCTGCACCTGGCGTTCAGCGTCCATTACGTCTATTATTATTTGGTCATCGACTACGCGAATGTCATTGCGCTCACAGAAATTGTATGGAGTTTCAAAGTGAGTTTCTACTTTGACCCTTTGTGCAACATCTACTATCATGTTAACGGAGCCGTGCAGCTTCAGGCACTATTAAACGTAAGTATTTCCTAAGCTCTGTGACTCGCCTCAACCACGCGCTCCACAGGTTTTCATCGTTTCTGGGATACATCTGTGAGTTCGGTGTGCAACTGTTATCTGCAACACTCAAGTTATAGTTTCTTTGTCCATAGTTTGTATTCCCATCGCATATGGACAAGTATGTCTTCCTCTATCAATGGATTTGCTATGACGCATATGATGAACCTAGTTAGCAAAGACCGAGCAAGACCCTTCCTCATGATAGTGGTGGGTTTTTCATTGGCATCTATGTTCTAACTCTATGTTCTAACCTTGGCATTTCATCCTGTTGATCCGCTATTAGGGCATTGCCAGTGTCGCAGGGTTAGGTGAGTCTCTCGCTTGGAAATGTTCGCTGGATCGTTGAAAAATCTCTTCAGGCGTTGGCATAGGTGAGAGTCCAATAGTACTCTCATCGTTGGCACAATATTTAACCCACTGAAAGCCACTGTTTTTATAGTGCAAGTGGAATAGCGTTCTCTCAAACATAACGAAGTGCTGACGGGAAGTAGATATCAGTACTCTTCCTTCGTGGATTTGGCTGAAACGAAGTGGTTAATATTCATGGCTCTTGGCACGGCTGCTGCTCTCGATGCGCTTATCGCATCCTCGCTGTGTTATCTGCTCGCTACCTCCCGCCCTGGGTTCCGTAGGTAAGGAGCAGTCTATTCACTGTCAGGATCTGATATACTTCCATGGCTACGTAGAACTGATTCCGTCATAACAAAGTTCTCACATTACGCCATTGATACTGGCTGTCTAACATGGTATGCCTCCTTTCAGCTCGCCCCATGTATCAACTTATATGTCGTGCAGTATATGTTCATTGGCAGCTGTCGCTACGGTGAGGTTACCATTGTCGTGCTGTCCGCCTCGTCTCTGAGTATCACCTACAGTATACTTTCATGCCGTACAGCTTCATCTTCTTGTGTATTGAATTTATAGTGGCTAAATGTATGGACGAAGCATTCTCCGAGGATCGTGCTGACCTGCGGTACCGTTTCAAGTATATGTCAACTCGTACATCGCACTCCTGAACGCGCGATACTACATGCAGTCTAACGCAGATACTATCGATTCTTCCGACTTCCAAATCTGCCACGGCGAATCCATCGGCACGAGGCACACCGCGTCGCCAGACGAGAAACTCCTGGCATATCGGAAGAGTGTGGTTAGTAGACATGTTGAAGGTGAAGTGGAGCAGGTACTTCCCACTCGACCTGTTCGGGCTGCAAGGGTCGGTTGTTGCGTTATTATTGGTGGGAGAGGACTAAATGACACCCTTTAGTTACCCCGGCAGTCGATTTTGGTGACGGTGGAGAGGGAATCTTTTTTGGATTAGTGGGAATTGTGACATTGTCTGTCCATCTGGTTGCGAGATAACATTGAAATTTGAGGTGTCGTGATGAATCCGCTTGCAACGCCTGATACGTAACCAATTGCAAGGAAGAGATAACATGGCTGCTTTCCATTTTCCATTTTCACGAACAACAAATCCTCGTAGGAAGGAATATACATATAACACGGAAAGCTGAAATGATTATGAACTACTGTTGAGTGCAGGGTGTAGAAGCTACTGACCTTGAAAGCAGGGTAGCACCAGCGTCCGCCCCAATGACGTCGCAAAACAACGATACCAGTCCCGGGTCCGTGGGTGTGGATCTGCTTGCGTATGGACGTGCTTACCCTTTTCCGTTGCCTGTATATGGGTGGTGATCAGATCGAGAGGGTACCAGGTTAGCACATTGGCATTCGCTGTGCTTAGCGAGCCTGATGCTGCCTGAACGAAAGGCGGTAGTCTGTAGAACGCTGCTCATGATAGTGGAGTTTTAGTCTCCCCAAGCCAGCCCTATATTTAGACGAAGGTCCTAAGATAGTCGAGTTTGGGATGTTGGGAAGAGAGAACCTGTAATCCGCACAAGCGTTTTACATAACAGTGCGGGTAAAAATAATCACATGTATTCTTCCGAATTTCTTCGTCACGTCGTGAGACGATCATGACGGTTTTCCGAATTCACACTAGTATTTATTACATGAACCTCTTCTGAGCTCATTAACAAAGGAACGACCGTCTGATTGTTGGGGTCTCTCAAGTCTACCAACTGCTAGTCGTCAGTTTTCTTTCTGCAGAGGCCCCGCCGGGTACACATGTTTAGGCTGAGGCCACCCGCTACAGCGAAGACAACCTTCCAATATGATACTATGTGAGCGGCTCGGTACTAATCAAGCACATGCTTACTATTTAGTTTGCTCGTTGAACTTGCTACAGTCAGTAACACGAATGGGATACAGAACTACTAAGGACAGTAACTTGGGAGGACTTGGGGAGGACGACCTTGTTTATTCATTCTTGAGTTGCAAGTAGTAAATGTTTTCATATCTGGAACAGGTCTTCCGACGTTGGGTCCTCCAACTACTCCGTCCTTCTGGATCAACCCCTGGCAGCAAAGTATGAAAGTATGACGATTCTCTCGCCGTCGACACTGAACTTTTTCTCTTGTTTTTCTTGGTTCAATTCTGCATTCAATCGAATAACAGGCAGGTCGGCAGCACGAGGAACGTTCCCGGTGCGCATCGGTGCTACATTATCACTCGAATGTTGGTAGGATCAACAGAACGATGCACAAGGGACAAATTCATCTCGCCACACAGTTCCCGGACGCGACAGGGCAAGAAGTTGTCCTCAGCCGGGTTGGGAGAGAAATAACCATGCCGGGACAAATCCCTGAGGGAAATGGGTGAAATAAGGTGACTACTTTCGAGTCTTGTCGCCTAACGAATTGGTCAACATGGCATTTCTCTTCATGATATTGTGCTAGAAAATTTATAGCGCTGACATAGGGAGAGCAACATGAAAGCTCTCGGCGACATCACGTACCCTACGAGTCGAACAACCGGAGAACAACGGGGAACTCGACAGTAAGCACAATATGGTTACCAGCGAGAAAAGTACTGACGACAGCGATCGGGGACTGGGCGAGCACAATTCAAATGTTGTTTGTCAAGTCTAGGTCACCGGTAATTCTTGAGTAATTCCTTTCGCCGAATGTTCTCTTTTACAATTAGTACGCATGTTGCTCACCTTCTGGCCTGGTATTCGATGATAGTTCGATCGCCAAGCTCAACTTGAGGTTCCCGAACACTACGATTACACAAGTCGGGTGGGTCCAAGGTTGCGGATGCTATCCATGACCTTGGAGGGTGGGATAAGAATTCGGAGCCAGCACAACCTCCAGGCCCCTGTTTTGATTTGATCGCACTACTCAGACATGCTGATGCTTGTTCTGTCGACAAGGGTCTCTGATTTGCAGAAGGCAATCTCTTTGCTGTACGCTTCTACTCCCTGTCGTTGAATTACTGATAAAGACGAGGGAGTGTCCAAACCAGAGTACCTATACACCAGGCTGACCTGTGCATTCAGAATCTCGACTAGGTTATGACATTCCGCCGACACAAGGTGGCACTTCACAGGTGCAGAAAGTGCCTGAGACATCCTTCACGGGAATGACTGGGCTTTCAATGTGGGCACAGAATTTCAACTCAGCGATCTACAACATTGTGCAAGTGTCCGCAGAGAGGTGTAAGACCCTACTTTCTGAGCGACATCTTTGAAATGGCCGGTCCGGGTAAGTGCCGTATTACATTAGCTTGCGAAGGTCACATTAGGTATAAATCACGGTTGGTTCGGGTGCGAATATCCAGTAGCTTCATCTCTTCGACCTTTCGGGCCGTGTACGATCCAGTCGAACTGACAAGCATTCTCAATAAGGTCATCCATTCCATTTAGAATCCTTACGATATCTCCCGGTGAGGATATGCTGGCAGTAGGATTGCCAGCACCAGAATTCATCACGCAACAGATGGCAATGTGGTACTCGCTCTCATTGTATACATATGGAGTACAGTTGCTATGTTTCAACTGGCGCTTTGGCTCAGTCGATAACTGAAATGTCTGCTTCAACGCAGGATCTTGTCCCACAATCAGGACTTGACCTCGGGGACACATATAGAGCACTTTTTTGGGGGGTCATCCTTTCAGCACTGTGAGTAAGATACATTTGCTTACTATGCAGACAAGGCTGAACACTTCCTGTCGTGACATATCTCACGGAACAGTCTATTCGGTCTAACCAACGTTCAAGCTTGTATATACTTTCAGACGCACACGAGCAAAGGGGTCGTACGTCCATACTGCCTTCTTGTCGGTTCTGTTGTTGATACTACGTCAGGTCATCTGGCTTTGGTAGGTTTCCCTTCAAGTGGCAATTATCAAGCACGTCGAGATTATACCGTACCCTGAACTTTCAGGACACTTGATGCTCTGCACCTGGCGTTTAGCATCCATTACGTCTATTATTATTTGGTAAGTAACTACGCGAACGTCATTGCGCTCACAGAAGTTGTATGGAGTTTCAAAGTGAGTTCCTACTTTGGCCCTTCGTGCAACATCTACTATCATATTGAGGGAGCCGTGCAGCTTCAGGCACTATTAAACGTAAGTTATATTTCCTAAGCTTTGTGGTTCGCCTCAATCACGCACTTCACAGGTTCTCATCATTTCTGGAGTACATCTGTGAGTTCGATGTGCATAGCTATCTGCAATACTCAAATAATGCTTTCTTGGTCCATAGTCTGTATTGTCATCGCATATGGACAAGTATGTCGTCCTCTGTCAATGGATTTTCTATGACTCATGCGATGAACCTAGTTAGCAAAGACCGAGCAAGCCCTTTCCTTATAATAGTGGTGGGTTTTCCATCGACATCTATATCCTAGCCTTGGCATTTCATTCTGTTGATCTGCTATTAGAGCATAGTCATTGTCGCAAGTTTAGGCGAGTCTGTCACCTGGAAACACTGTACGCTTGATCGTTGAAAATCTCTTCAGGCGTTAGCATATGTGAGAGTTTGATAGTACTTCCATTGTTGGCTCATCATTTAACCTACTGACAGCCCTCGTTGGTATGATGCGAGTGAAACGACGTTCTCCCTAACATCAGGAAGTGCTAACGAGAAGTAGATATCAGCACTCTTCCTTCGCGGATTTGGCTGAAACGAAGTGGGCAATATTCATGGCTTTTTGCACGGCTGCTGCTCTCGATGCGCTTATCGCATCCTCGCTATGTTGTCTGCTCGCTACCTCCTGCACTGAGTTCCCCAGGTAAGGAGCAGTCCATTCACTGTCAGGATTTGACATACTACCATGGCTACTTAGAATTGATTCCTTCATCACAAAGCTCATACATTACACTATTGATACTGGTTGTTTAACAAGGTATGCCTCCTCTCAGCTCGCTCTATATATCGACTTATATGTTGTGCAGTATATGTTCAATAGCAGTTATCATTACGGTGAGGTTACCTTGTTGTACCGTCCGTCTCGTTTCTGAGTGAAACCTACAGTACACTTTGATTCCGTACAGCTTCATCTTCTTGGGTGTTGAATTTATAGTGGCTAAATGTATGAACAAAGCATTCTCCAAGGATCGTGCTGACCTGCGGTACCGTTTCAAGTATATGTCAACTCGTACATCGCACTCCTGAATGCGCGATACTACACGCAGTCTAACGCGGCCACTATCAATTCTCCCGACTCCAGCTCCCTCAGCATTGGGCTGTGCAAGGCATCGCAAGACGAGACACTCCTGGCATATCGGAGGAGTTTAGTCGATAAACATGTTGAACAGGTGCTTGCCATTGCGTTATTGATGGTAGGAGAGCACTAAATAACACGCTTTAGCCACCCCAGATTTTGGTGACGGTGGTGAAGGAGTCTTTCGTGGATCAATGAGAATTTTCTATCCATCTTGTTACGAGACACGACACCAAAGGAGTTTCCTAGTAAATTATCGATGTGTGCCCGGTTGCACTACATAGGGAGGAGGATTGGAAACTTGTTTGATGTGCACATAATTACATGTGGTGTCTTTAATCCAATACATGAAGTAAGTACTCTGGACACGTGCTATATATAGCACTTAAAGTGTACAGACGCGCTGCCCTGCAGCGCATAATGATACTGACTCTTTAGAGCCATGCGGAAGTCAGATAGGCTTCCTGCCTCAGGGTTGCCACTGCCTCGGCGTCTGATTCACGATCGGCCCGCCACGCCCTCACCTCTACTGCTCTTGCTATTTCCTGCAAGGCCACTGCACAGCCTCTGTGTGCAGGGGGAAATGCGCTGAGCAGGGCGCGATGGGTGAGAATCATGTCCAGATATTCGCCTCCCGTCGTGCGGAACTGCGATGACATGGGGTAGGGGTAAGGGGATGGAGAGAGGACGTGGGATTCTGGGGCGAGTGAAGCGAGTATGGACTGGAGGAAGTGGCATGCGGGGAGTGGGGAGGGTGGGACTATCATAGAGGAGGTGGGCAGGTGGGTGGTGGTGGTGGTGGTGGTGAGGTCGCATGAGCTGGACTTTGAACTTGATGATTCCGCGTCGGACTAGATGAGTCGTAATTCAGTGGCGGGAATCAGAATGATCTAGGTTGCACTCACGTGGTACGCCGGATCCTCTGTGTTTGCAGCGTCCTCGCTTCCCCTTTGCAAGGCATAGGGGACAACAGGGACTGTTGGATCGTTTTCGGGAGCCTATCTCCATTGCGGAGTCAAGCTTATGTGTGACGGGAGGAACATTTCTTACCTTGGTCTTGCCTTTCGACAGGGTCAGTGTTTGTAGGAGCTCACAAAGGTCGAACTCAGCGCCATATACCTGCAACATAACGAGCGTTAGAACCTGCTTCTGAGGACTGATGGCGTAAACGTTATCTCACTGCAATTCCGTGGCTGTGCGATTCATTGTAGTCCGTCACGATCACCGGACCGACTGGAGAGTCCATGTCGATATCCATCGTGTAGTTGTTGTAAAATGCCAGAAGACACGAGCGTAAATGTAGGAGATATGAGCACAGAAAACCGGTGCTGGGTGTAGGGAATAGATGACTCGATAGAATGGATCGCACATATAGTCGCTAATAGCTATATGTAGCCGGTCTTCGAGGGCACGCGGAACCGGTTACCCTGCCTCGTGTATCAGGCAAGGATAAGAATGGACCTCCGTTTATTGGTTAGCTTGCCAAATGTGGGGAAACAACGTGGTGTAGGGCAAGAAATCTGAGCCAGAACCCTCATGGCCGACAGGCAAACATGCAGGCGAGAGAGTTGCTTCGAAGGGTAGCCGAGGTGTACTGGCACTGGCCACGGCAGGGCTCAAGTGGTGCAAATTACAGTGAATGCGAAAAATCAACTATAGTGTACACATCTATAGCAAGCTAAAATCCAGCAGATGCCAGAACAAGCATACAGTGCCGCGGAGAAGAAGGACACCATAAACTCTGAATCACTGCCACACCCGCACCACAACCAGATATATTTGTACGTATATGCTGGGACGATAGGCACGTTTGCCCTGAGTCACTGTCACTGAGATGATCATGATCCGGACCTGTGATCACTAGGCTAACGAAGGCTCGTCAGTATCAACTCATCAACACATAGATGTAAGAGAATGAACATAATTCAGAGAGAAGATCATCGATCTTGCTGGTGAGCAAGAAATTCGATCATACACGAGCGTCCAATGACCTCGCGTCAAGTGAGAAATGGATACACCGGTTTCATCAGACAAAGTGAAAGAACATGAAAAACTGAATGCTTGGGAAACCACTTACGGACGTTGAAATTTATCATACATGCTCCCCTGCGACAGAGACTCTGAGAGACGCGCTCAGTGTCGGTCATGCTGATGGCGGCGGGAAGTGTGAGATGCGAAATTTGCGAACAAAACAACCTACATGGCTATTAGCACAGCCACCAGAACTCAGAACCGAATTTGAAATTTCGAAGTTGTCCTCGTTTGTCATCGCACTTTTTAGAATCGAGCAGCACTTATAATAAATTATAATAATATGAGATGTATGACTTTCGGATGCTTGGACAATAACAGAGAGAACCCACTGATTGGCGTCGAAAAGCCTGTGTTCATACAGGAAATCTTGCGACTCGGAGGTTGAGCTCCTAGTGCCGGTGATGCCTGGACCGGTGAGAACAGTGTTTTATGTTGCAGAATTGCCTGTGATACACAGATCCAATGTACCTTTGGCTTGCCCTAAGCTTTGCTCTCAGACATAAAAGAAGATCGCACAAATCGAGAAAACGTATTCGAACAGGAACAGGGCCAGGGCCTGTCTTACACAATAAACTACATAGCAGTCATAATGCAAACAAGAAAGAAATGTGATAAGAATCCGTGAAGCAATGCGATACGAGCCAAATTGCCAACAAAAGAAGAAACTGATGCGTAGATTCAGTAGTGAAGATATTGTTCAACCTCTCCGACTGCTACTAGACCAGCGCTTACAAGGGAAGGCGCTGCTTCTCACTCATGGGAGCGGGTTGAGCAATGATGTTCTGAAGAAAGAGGAAATGACAATTTGTTAGCACGATTCAGAAAGGCACGATACCAGGACCGACGTTGGAAAGGGTTCCATAATTGGGGTACTGGCTCTGAGGTAGGTGCGACTGACTCACCTCATCGTCAGCAAGGCGGAGGCGGCTTTTCTGGACCTTGGCACGGGCGCTCTTGACGAACTTGGAGAGGATGAACATGCCAAGGAGGAAGACAGCAGCCAGGATAGAAAAGACGGTGCTGGAGATCGCGTTCTGGGAGCCAATGTGGAGCCAGTCATCCTCAAGACCTGAGCTGCAAGCAGCGGCCCATTGCTTCTGGCTGGAAATGGCATAGTTCTGGAATAGTAGCATTAAATTAGGGCGTTCAATAGAAACTAGCATACTGCGTACCTCGATCCTGTAGATGAATTCAGTTGCAGCAATGTCAGACTTGTGGCCGAAAGCGTGATGGGTCTCGAAATCGCCATTGGTGCCGTTCTTGAACTTGATCCTGATGAAGTCACGGTCTTCAGGGGCAGGTCCGCGACGGAGCTCGAAGGCAAGAGCAGAAGCGTAGTCGGCTTCAGTCGTTGCGTCAATTGACTACATACATTGAAGTGAGATCATACGCACGGATACCGGCAAGCTCGGGGTTCTCCTTGGTCATCTCGAGCATGTGGAACAGGGAGATAAAAGGCTGGTACGAGGTCTCGACGAGGAGGAACGCCAGAGGGTCACCGTTGAACGCAATTCGTTGGAGGGAGCTCAAGATCGTGTGGAGAATCGTGCGGCCAGCCACTGAATGACGATAGGATTAGTGGTGAGCAGCGTGCGCGAATCGAAATCGACTCACGGTTACCAATGCCACCGACATCCTTGTCCGAGAAGACGGCGTTTTCGTGGTAGTTGGCGAAACCACGAGCTTGCTCAACCAAGGTGGGGGGAAGGCGGTGAGCGTAGGTCTTGTTGTGGGAGAGCTCAGTCGAGACATAGTCCCAGATCTAGATGAAGTTCAGCCCGACATCAGCAATCTATATTAGAGAGTTACACACGTTCCACTAAATCATAGAGGTGATCAGCAGTTGCATCAAAGAACAAGAGGTGTAACCTACCGCATTCTCGAGAGTAGTAGGTCGGCCGAAAACGTAGTCCCTGACAGCACCGAAGAAAGGACCAGCGGCCTTTGCGGTCTCCTTGAACTCAGAGGACGAGTAGACGCTGGAGATGTGCTGCTCGAAAGCCTGCAGGTCATAGTGAGATCACAGTTTCCCGGGTTGGAAGCCTTGTACTGCTTACCGGACAGTCAGTCCAAGGCTCAAGGGACCTGTCGTTACCGGGCTCAACGGTCTCGATGGGAACGTACTGGTACCCGCCAAGAGGAGCAACGACGGTGGTCTCATTTGCAAGGACGATCTTGTTGGCAGGGTTGGGAGGGAAAAGACCCTGGAGGAGGGCGATAGCAGAGTCAAAGATGACGGTACCCTCACCGCCGGCCTTGGCATGGACGTGGACCTCATGGGTGTCCACGAGGTCGGTCTTCATGTCCGCGATGTATGAAGGAGAAGACGAGGTCATGTAGACCGAGCGAAGGAAGGCGCCAAGCTGGTGGGACTCGGCCTGTAATGCAGGCAACATCAACTAGGGAACTTGCGAGCCGCATACTAGTGACTTACAGCACCGAGGGCAGTGCTTTCGGTGTAGGAGCCCTCATAGGTCTTGGGGTCTTGGTAGTACTCCGTGCGGTCACCGTTGCGGGCGATAACAAGAACACCAAGAACGTCGGTCATGTTGGTTTGGGAGTAGGTAGTCGGTAAGAGCTGAGGAATTGGAGAGGAGTGCTGCAGTGTTGAGACTGTTAGCGTCCTCGTCCTTAAATCCTGGTAGCATAGCAGCCCCTGCGCTTGCCAGCGGCCTTGCACATGCTTAAGCGATGTAGATCACATCAAGGTGGAGGCCTGGAAAACGCAAGGAGGGAACAGCACGGAGCCAATGCACAGAAGCTCACGGTGAGCATGGCCATGATTGTAAATTGAAAAGTGCATGCATACATTAGCTTCTGACTGCAAGTGGGCAAGCTCAAAGCTCGAACAAGTTGAGCCTTCTGTGCGGATAAAGAGGTCGCCGTTCTGCCGGAATGCCATGATGCCAACATCGTGGCCTTAACGTAGATATTATGCTCTTTGGGGGCAATAAGATAGTCAGGGGGGATCATGAAGAGGTCAACCTACGGGTGATTGATTGTGATGGGGATGAAACTCCATTTTTCTGTACAGTGTACACGTTCTGGGTCGACTCCGAGCTTCAAGCTTCAAGATGGACAGCCTGATCCGGCCTCGCCACTACCACGAGTCAGGCTGAGCCCCCTTAAGACCACGGAGTGCTTTCCATCGGTCGTTCGCACACTGCAAACACTGATATAGGCGATCACGAAAGGTTCACCCAGTTGCAAAGCAGTACAAAGAAGAGTCCTTAGGTAGAAGGGTTTACACAGCAGAATAGAGGCAAATATCGTTAATGAGCGCTAGCGCTGAACAGGGGATCTTAAATTGGCCAAACCTAGTACAGGGTAGATATCAATCACCGGAGAAGTCATGAACATATGCTAGGCAACACCCCAGAAATGAAAAGCATGCTGCCCACACCAAAGGATTAGATAACTTGAAACCATTAATATTGTAGGCATGCAGCTGGACACGCGTAACATTAATATCCTTTTTACGTGCAAAAGACAATGTCCAATCAATGGCAGCCTCATGGTTAGTCTAGGACAATGGACATGTATTCTTGCTCACGCCCATAGGAGAAAGCAGAGTCAATCACGAAGATATATCATGATAAGAAGGCGATCGCGAGGGAGGGCCACTTCGCCGCGTGCATGAAAAAGTGCCACGTTGAAAGACGCAGCACAAGTTGCGTATGTATCGCCCATGATCATACGGGAAATCGAGAACCGACCCATCACGATACAGGATGAACGCGAAGACGCACCGTCACTGAACGTTAGCATAGTCATCGCGAGCTGGGCTACTTCCCTACATGAAACCAAAGTCACATTCGAAGATAAACTCGAATGTCTCGCCTCACCTCTCGAAATAATATCGAAGTCCCGGTAAGACCGCGGTATGGTTTCATTTCGGTTCTATCGTGAGTGAGTGAATGAGTGATCACGCATGAACTGGAACCGTATGGGCAAGGACGATGAGCGCTAGCGCTGTGCGGCAGTCTTTTTCATGTGCTCTCAGCAAGACACCGAACTCCTCCTTTCGAAGGAGTCTCGTGGGCTATCAACCTTAAACAGGGTCGTTTCGAGAGTGAATAATGTCTAACTTGAGACCCTCCAAAGTTGTCTGTTTCGCCGAACTTCATGAACGACAGAATCGTGGGCGCTGGGTACCAAACAAGGTCGGAAATTGTTTTACGGGGCATATGGACATCGGACCAACAGCGGGTCTCGAGCATCGATATCACTGGCGAGCCGGTGAGCCAGGAAAATATCCCACTAGTCCAAGCAGTGAGGGACGGAAATATAATCGATGAACAGGAACTGGGTGAATGTTAGAAAACCAATGAACCTAATAACCCCGTATAATTGAAGCAGGGTGAGCACCAGCGAGGTATACATGAATCATACGCGCCATCATGTATCGATGTCGACAGTCCAGTGTTAACAACATGCAGGTACTTAGAGCTTATGTAAGAATACATATTATGTAATACATGGTTTAATAATGTAATTTCAAGTCCACTGCGGTACTTATAGAACAACAGCCAACGCTCTTCAGGTCAATCTAAGATGGATAAAGCGCGTAGTACTAACTTTCTCCTTGCCAGGACTGAGGCCTATGAAAAATCTCAATAGCTCATTTGAACGTTGGCCTTCACTGGCAAGAAGGTAAGTTTAGCCATCGCCACTGTAACCGCAGGCCACCGGGTGACCGAATGGACATCGAGGGGCAGACAGCTCACATTTAGGTACCGATCTATGTTGTTACCTCTTCATGACCTCTCTCTGCGTAGATCTCGGGTCTCCAGCTTCGTCGAAGACACGACATAAAACTTTCCTTTCCTTTGGCTCAGGCCTGTCTTGTATAGTTCAAACTGCGGCCCGTGCTCTCATATGACGCTTCCCTGACCGTGGCTTTTTCCACGACTTCTTGAGGCTCTACATGTTCTAGGCTGAGCCCATCTGTTGCTAGAAAGGTAGTGGCTTAGGCTTTCGTCGTGTAAACTTCCAATCTTGACATGACGCGTACGGGCATCGCTGTTGGTCGCTGCTACTGCGGCTTCCAGTAGGTTGCTCTCTTGAGGCTTTGCCTTATTGCTCCTAGGTTGGACTTTGACAACCATCAACAGAGGTCATCGATAACACGATCAATCGATCACAACCTCTGCGAATTGCCTGTACCTATTGACCTCAAATTTGCAATGTATGTACACACATTTCGCACATCCCTCCACTCAACCATTCACTTATGTAAGTAGCTAGACTGCAGACACAAATGTATTTGAACATTTTTCCAACATTATTGACTCTGTTCTTCCCGATCAACCGATTTAACAACGTGACATAGAATCAGCGAAGTTGATGGGCAATGACGAGTCACGACGTCTGTGCGCTGGAGATCTATGAACAGTATTATTAAATGATTTGCCAATGATCGACGCTTCTTGATTGACTGTTATCGACTGTTCGTCGAGTTGTCGCCCATGAGTCCTAAATCAAGAAATAATCGTTATGTCGGTTTGTCCTCTCCATAGGAAAGGATAAACGCACTGGCACCAGGAACAAATCATCGGTCGTTGCTAACCGAAACAGGTCATAGACATTGTCGTTTGCTTGCCGCGGCGAAGCAGGCGAGTACTGAGTATAGACGCTGGGTTGGTAATAACCTTATTCGCGGGACAAATAATAACGGTTTTACCATAAATGGTACGCTGCCGGTCCAAAGCCCATAACTCTTCTAAAATCTTTTCATTCAGGATCCTTGAAGCTTGAGCATATGCATAGTGTGCTAGTTGCCCGCCCGCCTCACGAATCGATGGATACCTTGGGCCTAACCGCTATGCTATTCTGATCGGCGGCTAATCCGAGCGATTGGCTGATCAGACAACTATTTACATCATGCATGATGGACTTCAGTCACCGTTCAGTGACAGCCTGAGGTCCTGTCCCATGCCCAAGGCACTCGGACGTTTCATTTCGGTTGCCCTTATCGTATATAATAATCAAAGCTCAGCGTCTTTAATCCCTTTTTTTCTCCCACTCTCCCGTTACCTCTAGTTTGCCATAGTAGATTCATCTACATCAAGCGTTGGCATGCCGCATTCACTTCAACTTCGGCTGTTCCTCAATGTAGTATTCAATCGTTGAGGGACCTAATTTCTAGTATCAGCCCTGTATTGGCTATCTTTTGGTGGCCTGATTAACTATGCCAAACGCATTCCTTTGAAAACCCGCCGTTTTTCATGGCACGGCTGCGCGATGCCCATTTCCTCCTTTGTCCAAGATGCCCCCATCCTTGGGACAACGTCACAGCCTTGAAAAATTTGACGTTGGCCTGGTCCAGTAGGCCATATCTTCTAGCGTCGATTCATTCTGTTGGCTGGTGGCCGCGTTGGTCATGGCCGGTCCTTCACTCGTACTTCAATTCGGAGGTCTGCGTTCCTGTGCGAGTATCAGGAAATGCATTTATTAGGGCGGGGACCTTTTCCACTTCCTCCCTTCTTTGTTTATTCACTCCCCCCTGGAATCGATGAGATCTACGCCATTTTTCGTTGCATGTCCTCGTCGCTCTTCCACGGGACAAGCACTCCAGGCCATTCAGGAGCCGACCGGGCAATACTCCACCCCGATGTTTAGTGCGCCCTCTTCGGTGGGCCAAGTAGTCGACATGGTAGGACTTCCCATACTATCCTTTCACATCACATTGATCATTATCTCACCCAACGCTACAGAGCTCGATGACACACCCTGACGATGAGCTCACATTCTTTGAAGATCACGATCATCTGAATATGATCTCAAGCCTCAAGTTAGTCTACTGCTTCATCTTCATAACAGATATCTCACACCGTGACTAGTTGTCCAGTTCGGACTAACTTTTCTGAATCGCCAACATTGGGCGGCCTCAGTGTCAGGCGCTTTGCCTCTCCCGGCAGAATGAACGCTTCCAACTTACGGAACGTCAGTACTCCCGCCAACTCGTCCAACTACGCTGCCAATGGCTACGTGGATTCGAGCAGTCCATCGACAGGACATTTTTCTTACCACGGACAGGCAGCTAGCACCCAGCGGCAATACCCATCCCCCTCTTTCTCCACGCATAATAACCACATTCAGGTCGACGCTGCCGCGATATTTGACAATACAGTACCACAAAACTACCCCCCAACCACCAATACAATTCCCAACAGTCACACCCAGGTCAACGTTATTGTTCGGCCACAAAATAGCTATACGCATACTCCGGCGCCCAATGTGGGTCAATATAGGGGTTATAGCGAGCCCTTCTATAACCCACAAAATTTTCGTGGTGGCCATTACTACAACTCTGCACAAGGAAGCATCGGCGTCGGGCTCACTCCGGCGGCAGGCACCAATCTCCAACCATCCTATCTGCCGCCAATGTATGCCCTCGCCACCATCTACGAGTAGTTACTTTGCTTACAAGTACCCATATACAGGCAGTATCCAAATGGCTACAGTCCTTATTCCCCTCAAAATGCAATGCCCAACACAGATGCACCCTCCAGCTCCCACCGTGAACCATCCACCTACCACCCTCACCGTGAACTATCCTCCTACCGCTCCCACCCTGAGCCACTCGCCTATGACCCTGAGGCATACCACGGCCCGCGGCAGCAGGCCTATGACCCGCAACTACCTGGTCCTAGTTTACCCAGACAGCCAGCCCCTCCTATGGCACCTGATCCGTCATATTGGGTACCATCCAGTAATTCACAATCTCGCCAGAGTCCCCCACGCCCTCCTGAATCACATACTCAAGAAGCCCACCGAGCATCCGCTGTGTTCTCTTGCGGTTGGATTCTCGGGAACGGCGAGTCCTGCGGGTTCCAAGGGTCTCGAGATGCATTCAAGATCCATTTCACGTCCAATCATCTGTCCGGGGCTCAAAATTCGCTAAGCGAATGCAATTGGCAAAATTGCCACTATCGTAAACGTGGCAAACCAGGCGTCCGCGTCATGCGGCGCGACTGTCTGCGGCGTCACGTTCAGGAGACCCATCTGAAGGTGAAGAGGGGTGCTTGATCATCCTATGTTCGTCATTATGCATCCTGTTTAGCCCGAATCCCAATACCCGCTTGTTCGCTGTTACACTTGCTATCGTTCGCTCTTTTTTGTTGCTACATCATGATACAGTACAGGCCCAATTCATATTTCGCGCTAGTTCGCTCAATTGTAGTCTGCCCTAGGTACTTAGATCAATAGAAGGAAGACAATCGCTCAAGGCGGTTATGCCTGTACTTTGTATTTAGTCTGTCAGGAACCTTCGTATTTCCAGCCAATTCTTGGCAAGTGACGACAACAGTCCTCCTGAAAGCTATCACACGTTAAGGAATCTCCGCCTAACATAGAATGACCAGATACCTCGATATCCTCAATTCACCGCTACGACTGACCAATGGTGTTGCTTCAAAGTGACCTCCATTCGTTCGTGTCATCGCCTCCTTGAATCCGAAGACGGTGACTGGTCGTTCGAAGGGAATAGCGCCCACACGTATCCATGCAACGGGCTGCGAGTATCCTGCTACAATGCATCACGAGGACTTCCGAAACTTCTCTCGAACCGTCTTTGGGGAATTGCCATCAAGGTTCCCGTTGGCCATGGAATTTACACCGGATACCAGCAAAGGAGGTTGCTGTCCAGGGTTCTAAAACCACCGGCATGGCTAGCCATCATACGAAAGTAAAGTAAGCTGTATCGCTTAATGGCTCAAGCCAAAAGTCATTAAACCACGGCATGGCTGGCTGTCATACGGAAGTGAAGTAAGCTGTATCGCTTACCGGCAGGCCAGCCAAAGTCATTCGTGGCGTCGGGAACTACCAGTTGGCTGAAGAATCCTCGGATGCCCACAGGTTTCAATAATTGGACCGAGATCCATCGATCGAGCAGATCTAAGGGTTGATGTGCAGTCCCTTCCAGCACCTAATACGTGCTAGAGTAGAGGATCTTGGACTCTCTATTGCCCACGGAACGACGGTCCTGACGAGGATGCTGCAACGAAGATGCAAGTATGGATAGGTAATCTCGCGCAGGGCAACATACCGAAGGATGTTATCAACTTGAAATGCGGCAGTGCAAGGCAGCCAAAATATGACCTGGCGTATACGTGCCCGGCGGAGCCATTATCAATTAGCTGCCAAGCTTGGCTGCGGGACAGAAAGGGTAATCGGGATTAAGCAACTCACCTTTTGGCTCGCTTCTGATTTCCTCATACTCAAATGTACGGCGCCGAAATAACCTGGCAAAATTTTGGGCGAAGCGTCCTGCAGGAGATACATCAATCTTATACATCATGTTCTTTATACATCATGTCTCTTGATTAACGCCGAGGCTGTCAGAGAAGCGTCTAACGTTAAGAGGGAAGAACGTTGCGGCCTGCCACTTGGTATGCTTCACCTTCCCACCGTCTCCTGTAAGACTTAGTATGTGTGATCTCACCTGCGGTGGGCGGTTGATGGCACTCAGGCACCAGTGGCAGATGTCCGTAAAGTTCCTAGGTTTCTTTTCCTGCATTCGGGTGAGCACAATGACCATAACAAATGAGTAGCTACGTGCTTAGGGTCCAGAGCTCGGGACAGCCAAGATAAATGATCAGGCTGCCGCCGATACAGCAACTATGGTGCCAACCATGCTGTATTATGCTGCCAAGCTAACACCAACAGTATCTCATCACGAATTGTTCCATTAAGCCCGGAACAAAGATCAAGGATTAACGACTTCGAACTTGATTATAGTTATCTGTATCTCCTAAAATTGGAAACGCCATTGGTTCGTCGGTCATCACGAGCAAATCCGATACCTGACTATATTCAGCACACTACAGGTGACAACTAGAACAACAAGTTGAGCACACAAGAGCAGTGTCCTAGAACAGAAAAAAATTATACTGTACCACCTTCAAATTGATCACGCACACCTGTACTATTCAATCTAAGGTCCATCATCAATACCCACAAATCTCAAAGGCATCTTAAGCTCACTCACCTAAATCAGTACTCAACTGCATCTTCATCGTCTGCACGCATGCCTAATTCCTCCTTAGCGCCAACATCCACCTCCATTTCTTCCACCTTTGAGTCGCGTTCCTCCGTCTTTTCTTCTGTCTTAGAGTCACGCTCCTCCACCTTCGAGTCAGAAAGCTTGGGCTCCTCGGAGGTCATTTCCTCGTCTTTGTTGACCTGAGCTTTTTCATCGGCGTCGGCCTCCTCTTTCTTTTCCTTCTTCCTTCTCGCGTCCTCGTCGGCGACACGTAGTCGGAGCTGTTTGATTTCGTCGATACCGGCAGCACGCTCCTCGTGGAAAGTGGACCATTCGGATTCGGCTGCTTCCTTGACCTAGGCCATGTGGATTAGCACCGGATTTGTCGATATAGCGAGGCGAAGTAGATATGCATCTACTGCATTGTATTTTTTTCTACAAATGCTAAGCTCACCTTGAATTTGCGTTTTTCTACAAATGCTTCCTGGGCTGGTGTGAGTATCGCAGGCAAATAAAAGAGAGGTGGAGGGTGTGATCGTGTGGGGAGAGCTAGAGGATTCATGGATGACGTCTGGTCTTCCATGGAATCAATGGATTGGACGTCGTCAGATGTACATAGGAAGTGAGAATAGAGTGGTAAATGCGTTCTTCGTAGCTTGTTCTGCAAGACAAGGTCATTGGCTCTTGGAAGATGGAGGATATCAAAGTGACACTCACGATGGAATCTTTGAGCTGAAGTTCTTCTTCTTTGCGATTTGCGGCGTTCCTGTCTTTCTTGGCTTCTTCAGTGCGTCGAACCGAGTCGGTTTCCTTTCGAAGTTTGGCTTGCAACCGCTGGTCTATCATCTGGCGTTTTTTTGCCTGCGGGAAATTATATATCATTGAGTAAACACATGGGTGGGTGATGCTTACCGCTTCACTGGCATTCCTTTCTTTATCCTCAATCTTCGCCTTGTTCAGCGTGCCAAGAACAATACCAAACATGCTCTTGCCTCGCTTGCGCTCGCTGACACCAAGGTCAATGCGAGGCCGCTTTCTTGCAGGCTGAGAGTCTGGTTCTTGTTCTGTGTCCATCTTGTCCCGTTTGTCAGTATCAAGTTTCGCTTCAGTTGCTGGTTTACTGTATGTCATTCTTTAAAGCCAGAAAGGTGAAATATAAGATAACGGCTCACGATTTCATCGACATTGGTCTGACGGTAGCGTGGTGAACGAAGTACCTTCACTTGTTCAGTGACGGAAACTGGGTTGCTTATGTCAACTTTAATTCCGGAAAGGAAACGTGACACGTGGTTAACGACACTGTCCATCGCGGCCAACGACGACCAAAGATGCCGCCCAAAGCTGCGCCAGCCGCAAAGGCAGGCCACGCGTCTTCCAAGACTCCTTCAAAACAACGACGTTCACAAAAGCAGCAGCCTGCTCCGTTGACAGACAGACTGAAACGTCTGTTCACTTCCCTCTGCGCCCAAGTCGATGGTGGGCACTTCGCAAATGCGATTCGTACTTGCAACAAGAGTCAGTGATTAGTTAAAAGAATTATGGTCCGATATTGACAAATTCCCCAGTCATGCGTCTGGATCCAAGTGATCGCGATGCAATACGGACGAAGCTTTTCCTGCTTCTCCAAACTGAGCAGTATGACACTGCCCTTGGGCTTATCGCTGAAATAAATGAGCAATGTTCATTTGAGCGAGCATATGCATTATACCGTATTCAGCGGGAAGAAGATGCTGCTCAGGTGCTGAAGGAAATTAAGAACGACGGAAAAGAGGTAGATCAGAGGGGCGCGATGCACTTGGAGGCTCAGCTGGTAAGCATATAATTGTTTCATTTCAATATTGGTATCGAAATAATGTAACAGAGCTATCGCCAAGGATCGTACCAGTCATCCTTGGACATCTATAATGAACTTCTTGAAACAGCTGATCCTGTATGTTGTGCCGTTTGCAGTATAGCTAGCAACTCACTTATGCATCTGTGCTGTAGTCTTCGGACGAACATGCAGATGTTCTCACCAATCTATCAGCCTCCCAGTCACACCAAGATTTCATCACGACTACATTCATGCAATGTTTGTCTCAACTCCCCAGCTCTATCGCCTCGACGTTAGAATCGGCGCCACCTCCTGTTCTCTCCCAACCAGCTTCAATCCCCACTTTTGTGGAAGAGCCCACAAAAAAGCCCGAGGCTGGGGAGACAAAGAAGAAAGTGCGGACAAAACGTGTGCCGAAGGGAGTCACACCAGGCGTCTCGCCCCCGCCGGATCCTGAAAGATGGCTGAAAAAGTCGGAACGAACTACTTATACCCAAGGAAAAAAGCGGAGGGGTGCAGGAGGTGGTGCGACCCAGGGTGCAGCCGTTGGCGCTGAAAGCGGGCCTGTTCCTGCCGGCGCCTCGCACGGAGGGAAGGCTGGTGGGAAAGGCAAAGGAGGGAAGAAAAAGTAGTGGAGCGGTATGCCAAGCCCAAAGCTTATCATGAACTCCTAATGCTGTATTCCAGATTGCGACCGAGCTATAAATCCCGTTTTCACGATACATATGCGCTAGCAGGACGGAAGAGCAGGACTTGTTTGTTCTCGATCACTCATCTAGACCTCGTTGGTTTCTAGGCAGGTCAGATTGTTTACCTCACTTCTGAATATTCACACGGCTTCCCCTACACAACGAAGCTCCAACCCTCAAGTTGCAAGCATTTTCCGGATGCAATTTGGTGAAGGGAATATCCTAAGATGACAACAGACTTCCCTCAAGAGACCACGGGGTATGTGGGGAATGTCCTTGACAGCTTTTCACGCTCCTCGTATAACAACAAGATCCTAACATGCCAGCAGTCCCTAACTTTCTACTAGAAAACGCCCCCTCCTCCGACGCATTGCCTGTCAAGCACAGACAGGTTGCAGATCAGACTAACTTGCTACCATTGGTCTCGCATTATATACTTACCTGCCGATAATATGGCTGGCTGAACAGAAGAACATGGCAGGCAACTCATCATTGAAGTACACTGCTGGACGGCCGGAGGAGCGCTGCGAGTGTGCAGACCATATTGAAGCTAGCGAGACGGCTCTCGACTACATGACCGCAGAGGATGGCGACCCAGTATAGTGCAGCAGCGTGTACTAGGGTTCTTGTGGTGGGCGCGATTACTGCCAGATGATGGATTTTAATCCTGCTAGTCCTGACTCCTGAGACGACAGCTCTTGTGTATTCGTACTCGGAGTAGAGAAAAATGTACAAGCTCCGCAGGGGTCGAGCGAAGGTAGCTCTCGACTTTAAAAAGGTCGTTCAGTAAGGTGCCTGCGGACTCGGAATTTCTGTAGCAAATTGGTTCTCGAGGGACCGTATCGTGGAAACCTTGCATTCAAAGGTGTCGATTTACTAGGCAAGGGGACTGTTTATCAAACCCTGAGGGTGCAAGTCCCATATGACAAAGGGCACAATCAGACAGACCTGCAGAACTCAGTAAGGCGGTGGGAACAAACAAGAGGTATACTTAGCGCGATCTTTGTAACCGACGAGGGTTCGTACTTTTTAGTGGCCGTACAGAACCTTCTCAGGCTTCGCACTGCGAACACAACAAGGAAAAGAAGCATCAAAAGATGGCCTCTTCAAGCTCGAGGAATTCCGAGAAGGATCACGAATATGAAGCGGCCTACGCATTAAATGATTTAATGGTCGAGAAAGTGACTGATCGGCGAACAGGCGACTGAGTCGCTTAGCTGCTGGTATGAAAGGAACTTTTGGGAAGGAAGATTCTGTGGGTAGATGCAACTGGGTAGATGGACCTAGATGGATTCGGAGCAGAAAACTGTTGTAGGCGGGATCGGAACGTTGCTTCGAAGGGGGGAAATCACTCGCCTCTCCGCCATATTTGTACGGACCAGAGAGCTGGCTGGCATAGCACTATTTCTCGGAGATGAGCTCCCCACAAAAATAAGAAACGCAATTGTACAATGTAGTCGAGAAGGGAGCTATTGTCGCCATCATATGCCTTTCCGCACACTTTTTCCCCCCTTTTTTCATGTATTTCAGGATTTCAACAACGGGTGTCCCGAGGTCCGAGGAGATGAACCACAGATTCTGGTAGAACGATGAACCTTGCTTCAAAATTAAAGACAAATATACCAAATGGATCTTCAAAGCCAGGCGACATCACATGGTAACGGTAGAGGACGGATGTGCTGATGCTGTGTATTATTACTATAGTTTGTATGGTTGATTTGCAATGTGACTTCACAATTTCGTGTTTCTCCGGTCACCAGTTGTCATGATTGGATTTTACTGTAGGTTTAATGGTCGGTGGCTTTCTGCTCAATCCTCCGAGAAGGGTGGCGGAATTTAGAAGAACACGCGGATGTCGATAAAAGTTTTACACGAGGGTGGTCAAGCCTAAACTGCGTGAAAACCTGATACTGTCAATCCAATCGCTTTGAACAAGGAATAGTAGGATATGTGCCTTTTGGATCTCGAACTAGACGTATTAAAGGTAGTGTACTCATCTCATTAGGGAGTTTCGGGGGTTGTTCGTTAGTCTCTAATTATATGCCCAAGTGAGAAAATGCTTGAAGTCCCCGAGTCGGGAATCAAGATGAAGTCGTGACTGCAGGCGCAGAAGTGACAACTGCACTGGCACTAGCACTTGCGGTGGGAGGACAGAGGGCAGTCGGCATTGCGGCACTGACGGCATCCCATGCATTAGGGTATGTACACCCAGCGACTTCTGTGGCAGCGAGACCAGTATCAGACGAATCAAACCATCCGTTACCGATGGCGACCGAACTCGGAGGATTTGGTGTAAAGGTAGGCGGCGGTAGCGTCGGGATGGCGCTTGTTGACGTGTAAGTAGGAAGTAAGGATTGTGTAGCTCCTGCGGTAAGCCCACTAATGGACTTGGGCGGATATTGACCGTACGAAGATGTCAAGACAGGATTAATTGTCCCCGCACCAGGCCCGCCAGTCTGATAAGGTTGATAAACACCGTCAAACTGTTGAGCAGCGACTCCGAGTGCAGCGCAGGTCCCGGTAGCCATGCGAGGGTCAGTGGGCACCCATCCTTGTTGCAATCCTAGCTGGTAAGACCATAGTGGAGACGCAATCGTATTGTTTGATGTTGGCCCAATCTAGTGAAAAAAATGTCGAAACAGACTCAGCTTCTTGTGCTCAATCAAAAGTTACAAGGTGTGATGCATACCTTCCAGGTCCAGAAAAACCAGTCCTGAAGCGCGTCCATACTCGCCAATGCGAATTGCTGAAGCCCGGCCTTCATTGTATCATTCCACTGCGACGAGTCTAAAAAGAGCGAGCACGACGGCGCCACGTCCTGTGCATTGCCCACCCCATTGAGGTACAGTCCGCAATCGTTGAAGCCGTTGCTAAATTCGCCAGCGAAGGTGACGCCAAACGCCGTTTGACTGTCATTCATATGTTAGCTGTTGGTGAGACACAAGCTTGAAGATTACCTAGTATTCATCGAAGTCGCCCATCTCGAGCAGGCTAGAGTTGGCCAGATACCCCCAGCATCCAACCCAGTTCCTGTCGCTATGGGCTCTGTGTTGGGACTACCATCGAAAGCCAAATAAGGGTGAGTGTCCAGGATGATACGATCTGATCCCTCCAAGAACCCTGCCCATGATGAAAGACCTTGGAAGCCATCATGGATTGCAATATACGGCCCATTTCCTTCCCCGTACCCTGTGATATCGCGAATCATATCGTGGGCCTGCAGGTAACTAATAAAGCTTTTGTAAGCACTGCACCAGAGGACAACACAGCAAGAACTTACAAAGACGTCATCTGATCCATACCAATGACAGCAACCCTAGCTTCATTCATGATGCTAAAGACCGGCACAACATCCCTCCACTCAGGCTGCGAAATGAATTCGGCGATGATCCTGATGTAACCGAGAGCGCGCTGCGCGTTCGCAACACCCATGACTCCATTGAGAAAATTGATCTTCCCAAACTTTCCGGAGTGATTGAAACCTAGCCGTCATGTTAGATCGTCCTACCGCAATTTTTCAGGAAACAGCGTACCGTTCTGAGAGCCAGGAATTGTGTGAAGATCAAGGTTGACCCGAAGGCCATACTTCCGTGCCCATTGAAGAACTCGTAAGATATATCTGGAAAGAATCACAGTAGCACCTGTTAGGGCGTGAACCCGAATGCTCATCCCATCACTTACGGCCAGCAAACCTGCTCGAGGAAAGGCTCAAAATCCCACTTCTCGATAGCCCAAAAAGGGATGGGCAAACGTATCCAATTCAACCCAGCGCCAGCAATTTCCGCTATGTCCTGCTCGGTCTGCGACAATCAATTTTATTAACTCGTTAATGCCACGTAAGTAGACAATTATAAGCTCACGATGAACGTCTTGTAATGCTCCTCAATCTGATTCAGTCCTCCGTTGACAGTGTCCGCGGCCATGAGTGTACTTAGTGACCATTCATCGATAGCTTCTGGATAACTCTCGAATAGAGCTGGTGAAATGAACGGCTCGAGAACAAAGAGGCCACCGATATTTACGCTACGGACTCATAAATGTCAGATGTACATAGAAGGTGACTGGTATCCTTACCCATTAACCTTGTTTTGGCCCCACACCCAACTTTGGTTCAGCGGTGGTGTCCATGAGTTAGGACGCGCGTCATTATTGAATGGATCATTAGGATCATCTACCCCTGTGAGCATTGTATCAGCAACTAGCACCGGACAACGAAGAATGCGAGATACGGAACACAGGTAATCTTTTAGGGTCCTGCGATACAAGGAATGTACTCACAATATCCACCAAAAGGGTTATTATATGTGAAAGTCGATCCGTCCGAGGTAGTGACCGTAGAACCATTTTCCCCGCGAGTTGGACTGGCGTGAGAGCCGACGGACGAAGGCTCCGAAGAACTTGTTCCGTTGGTCATGTCCGACTCATGATTGTGATGTTTGATCACAAAAAAGTAGACTGGTACCACCACCGCAACCGCTACCAGAACAACAGAGAGAGACAATAGAATGGGGCGTACGTATTTAGCACCCTTCTTTGAATGAGAAGGTTTTATTTCTTCCCCAGAGGGACCTGGGTTTCCCTTCTCTTGAGCTGGTGATAATGGAGAAGAACTGCTTGAGGTGTAAATGAAGGAGTGGCGGGGAGTAGTTGCTGCCTCGGGGGTTGAAATCCAAAGAGGCTGGCTGGTTTTCAACGAAGGAGTGTCAGGAGCAGCCAAAGAGACCTCTGCGAAGCTGTCAGGTCTCGATGACATCTCGGTTGTGTAGTAAAGACTGTGATGGGGACAAGCAAGAGCGTGACCTTGAAACTCAGAAGGCTAGCGGCCTAAAGGCATTTTGTTGTTCGGTCCCATGCCGGCAAACGGTGGTTACGTCGAACATAATAACAACGCGCATACTTACTCAATTGAATTCACTCCTTCGGGGAACAGTTTCGTACTCTATAATTTAAATGTCTTCTGTTGCGATTCGGCCCTTGAAGTACACTCGCTGTACTGGAATACCAAGTCGAGAAGTAGCATGAGTAATGGGGTAAATGGTAGGTCTGCTTTGGAATTGTAGAACTTGGAGCAGCGACCAGACATCATCCGACGTGACTCGGGAGGGTGCCACCGCTGATACCAGCGAGAGAAGGAACGTTTGCAAGCAGACGATGCAAGACACCGAACTCTATGTAGCACACATCGAAAGTTCCTGAGGCTGTCCTGACTCCTGAAGCTAGAGTGCTGACTAATCGAAATCCCTAGTATCAAACCAGTTATGACCCTAGTAGTTCTCGTGCATAGTGTTGCTGCCTTGACAGCAAACTCGAGTTCGAGCTAGTCCTTTGCAATAGATCTGAATAGTGTTGAAGTTTATGGTCCTTGAAGAATCGCAAATTTTGTCTGCTACGACCCGGACTGTCTTCCTTCTATACATAGTAGGTCTGGCTAGGATTGATCGGACTTGAACTCGGGCGGGGGAACAAGAAGGGTTAGTTATTTACAACGCTTTCAGGTAGTCTCCTTCGTTTAGTACACCTTCGGGAGGTGTAGGAGAAATATTTAAACATATGTCCGGTGTAGACGTGGTTGCACGATTAACAATAAAATATGTATGTCCTAAAGTATGTGATAGTATCAACCTAAGATGTGTGATCACTTCCCACCGTTCACGACGTCCTGCAAGATGGGCCGGCCCTTGAGAATCCCCTCTTCGACCCTCGGAGTTCTCGGTTTCTTTGAGGGCGGTTCGCTGAGACTAACTGCTGATCTATGCTCCTGACTTCGCTTCGCAGGACTGCGAATACCACACCTTGCGCTTTGGAACGCCGGGTGCTTGTCTTCTGCGCCGACAGGCAGCGTCAATATCCAGCCCCGCTCATCCATGAGCTCCAAGAAGACCGACAAAAGTTCAGTTGAATTCAAGGTCTTCCGGGAGCCAATGATGATCAATTTCGACCGCGCACGTGTGAACGACACATTGACCCGCCGCCAGTCCTTGAGCAAGTCTCCAATCTGCCGAGGAGCGTGAGCTGGCGCAGCAACTGAACTGATAGCACTTACCTTCCCGTGGTCGTTGGATCTGACCATGGAGATGATGATACAGTCCTTATCACGTCCTTGACTTCTGTCCGCTGTGAGAATCTCTAAATCCTTCCTATCTTGAAGAAGATGTGATAGAAGCTTTATCTGCTGGCGATAAAGAGACATGATCCCGATCTGGTCCTCCTGAATTCCTGATCTTAAGAACGCTTCGGTAATCTGGTACACAAGCTGGGCCTCAACATCATTCTGGACGAGATCCCCGACTCTTGAATCGTGGGCAGGTAACTGATCTGTATCAAGGAATACGACTTTGCAGCTGGTGGAAAAGGTGGTAAGTCAGCTTGCCGCAACACATGTAGCGAACTGACCTTTCTGATAAGAGATACCGCAACCAGCAAGATTCCTCGCACAGGCACATTCCCGGCTCCAGTTTGCCGACCATACACTCGTTGGGAAGAACCAGAGTGCGCTTGGCTACTTCCTCTGATCCACATCGCAGACGGTCTCCGTATATGAGCTTGTTCGACAACTGCATAATGTCCTCGTTCATGCGATATTGATATGTGAGATCAACCACTGCGTGTGGATGCGCTTCAGAGAGGCGTCGGAAGAGAGATGTTTCCAGGCCGCCTTTTCGCGCAGCAGGATTACGGACCTGGAAATCCATAAAAGGGAGACCATGATACGCGACAAAGAGACTCACTAGGGGGGGAAGCTGGAAATGATCTCCGACCAAAACGAATTTCTCGGTAAATCGAAGGGGACCTAGACATGTGGGCAGGGTAATCTGAGAAGCTTCATCGACGATGCAAAAGTCGAATATTCTGCGTGAAAAGAGGGCACTGGTGGGAAATGGAAAATGAGCATAAGGAAACACATCGAGAGACAGACGTACTGATCAATTGTCAAGCATGTAGTAGCTACAACAGGTGGAGTGATGACTTGGTTCTCCAATTCCTCGACCGTCGTAGGCAACCTACGCCCAGATAGCGTAAATTTGCGAACACTGGGATGCACCTAGACATAAAAATACGGAATAATGAGCCAACATACGAAGACTCGTGGTTTCGGAGAGACATACCTTATCGACATTACCAAGTCTTAAAATGCCGAAGTCTGCATCCTGCAGCTTGAGCAATATTGTGTCTACAGCCGAGTGCGTGTACGACGTCAAAAGGACCGTCTTACCCATGGCCACAATAGTCCGGATGAGCGCAGCAATTACGGTCGTCTTGCCTGTGCCAGGCATGCCGAGGATGAGCGCGTAATCGCGTGCACTCAAGGCCCGCTTCATCGCAGCAAGTTGACTAGGGTTCATACCCGAGCTAGCGATGACATACTCCGGGACGCGTTGCAGGTTGTCAGTGATCGTCTCTTCGTTATCAAATAACGGGCGTCGCAGGTCCACGACGAGCTCTAGACGTCTCGCATCTCCCTCGGTATAGAATAGTTGGGCTAAATTATCTCTGATCCGCGCCATACCGCCCGATAGCTCATCCTTGTCAACTCGGAAGACTGCAGGTGTCTTCGCTCCTCGAAGTGTCTCGAGTCTGGCTTCTATCTTGTCCACACTCAACTCGTGGTCCACACCAACGACGACTGTCTCTGGTGTTAGCTCTACAATGAACCCGCGTGCGAGAGCAAGAAGATCAGGCTCAACGGAGACCGTGATAGCATCTCCACGACTCATGTGCCCATTCAAGAATGAGACGTCCTGAGCAACAGAAGCACGAACAAAACAATAGGTGTGCTGGTGTATCTTGCCACTGTTTGGAACTTTTTCCGACCGGAAGGATGCGTCTATGACCATCGAGCTGAAACATCTCCCTTTCTCCTCGCGTTCTTGAGCGGTCATGCACCATAGCTCCTTTTTGAACCGAATGGCGTCCTGCTCCTCAAGCGAAATGAGCTCTTCCCATTGTTTAAAAAACGTGAGATGAGAAGGCTTCAGATGCGAGGTTTTGAGGTCGTACAAGTCTGCGATCGGTGAAGATATATCAACGACGTTCTCAACAGCCTGTAGTCATGACGTCAGCACAATCCATAGTGTATGGTGATGATCAAACCTTGCGAAATAGCATACAGGTATCCACTGCATAGCACTTGTTGCATAGTCTTTCGTCGTCAATCGTAGGAGGTAAAAAAGGCTCTTCGATCTCCTTTTCCTTGCCATGCGTATTCCTTCGCATCGTATATGCTGCCATTTCGTTCCTTGCGCCTATCAGTGCTCGGAGCTCGTTCCGGCTTTGCGGGACACGGACGACCTCCTCGCTCTGGGTGTAGTACAGGAGCCCGCTCGGAACCTCGACACCGTACCGTTCTGCTATCAAGAGGGTGTAAAGCATCGTCTGGGCACGATGTTCCATCCCTGCTACTGTTCTACCAGTCTTGATCTCAAATGGCATTATGTGTGTGGTCAGCAAAGGTTCCTTCTTAACATATTTGTCGAGCGTGCTCTCAGCAATGACTGCCTGGACGGTGGCATCGAGCTTGCCTTTTAGTCCATAAGTCGGAGACCAAATGTCCTCTTCCACATCATGGAGCTGGGATATGGCAAGAAGAGAATGTTGATTCGCAGCCGCGCGGGTGTTGGTGAGAACTGCATCAGCCTACAATAACATTGTTAACGGTTGAATCTGCGTAGTTGCCAGCAACGATCACCTTCGGATTCTCCGCAATATAGCGTTCAGAGAATACTCGAAGACCCTTTGAACGGGCCTTCACTTCACGTTTCGCTTCGTCGACACCGACGTTGATCTTGACAAGCTCCGCAATATTCTTCTTGATGATCTCCTCAGTATGCTCTTCAACGAAACGTTCGTCCCATCTCTGTTCAGCCATGCATATTTGCACAACTTCGTGAAGCATGTTACCCCATATGAGCGATGGGGTGACATCCAAGGTCGAACGGACGAGCGCGGAGAGAAGCGGTTTGCGCCTGCACTGTGGTGCGTTGGATAGCGCAGTAGCTGTGATCAAGAGGTCTGGATGATTAATCAGAAAATTGGTTTTAGACGTTATCTTAATCATCCCGAAGGAATCAAAATCGCCCAGGACGTTGATGATGTTCCCTGAGATACGTCAGCGTAAACACGAAGCATGTAAAAACTATTTACCTTTGCGAATATCTGTGTCTGCCCAGTCGTCACAGAGAATCACTGTTCGGCGATCTCCAGTTGGCTGGAGACGCACAGAAAGTACCTGTAGTACTATATTATGACAAAGTGCAATCCACACAGTTTTGGGTCTCCAAACCTTTTGAAACACTGCTGAATTGTCCTCTTGAATGTCTTCTACCACACATCGTGTGCACGTCTCTTTGGCGTGTCGCTTCGCAGGCATTACTGCCGTCTGCAGAGCTTTAACAGGGGTATCATGGTTAGCAGGATGGTGGACTCACCTTGGACTTCACTCGAGGCTTTTTTGGCGTAAGAAATTCATCTTCCATGTCTCCCCAGTCCCAATTTTCAGCGCCTTCAAGAAGTGCTTTCACATCCAGAGCAGTCTCATTGATGGGAGGAGCAGTGGCAGACAAAGACACGGATCTCCTTACTGGAGGAGAGCCCTTTACAGAAGGCGGTCTACGACTGGGCGTTTTCTTTCCACGAGTCAGAGCAAGAAGTGGCTTCGAGTGCAAACTCACCTTAATTGGCGTCTTTCCGGAGTTGAATTTCTGTGGTGTAAGAAAGTCTACTTCCATGTCATTCCAGTCCCAGTTTTCTGCGCCATCTAGAAGCATAGAGATGTCGAGGTCATTACTGCGAGTGCCAGGACGACTGCCCGCATTTTTCGAGGGCGTTCGTGGAGCAATGGAAGAGCAAGAAACTGGTCGTTTAAGCTTTGGTGGATGTTCTGGTTGGCGTGCTGAATCGAGCCCTGAAAGTAGGTTCTCCATGAAGGCATTCTCGTCGGGAGTGTTCGGTATCGCTTGAGGCATGACGGACTAGAAAGATGAAAGGTGCACTGAATGCTTCGACAATTGATGGCACGCGCCGTAACGCCAGCCTTCGCGACGCGTTTGTTGACATTTATGTGGTCACGAGTTTTAACTCCGCGAACATTGCCAGCAGCGTTCTCAAACAACTTTGCAGGCGTTCGCGAAGGAGGGGATGTGAGCAAGAGTACCACATTCCATTTCTCGGACAACACAAGTGACTATTACACGTGTTCAGCGCGATCCCAGTGAGTCACGAATTCGATGTACTGCGAACGATCTATGGCAAAATTTGAGCTTGCAGAAGCCCCATCCAGACGTCTTCCTGGCAATGATGCCGTGCGTTCGATATACGTAGGCTATCATCGCAAGTCATCGCGATGCCCTCACCGTTTGTTTCCCCGCATATTACGTCCACTATCACAGGTGCAAGGTACACAGCCACTGATTTGGTGACTCCATGGATGTGGTTAAAAGATATAGCAACGGCAACGGCAACAAACCATATCCTAGGCCTAGACCAACAGTAACGATGCACGGTTAGGCTACTGCTCTATAACCGCGTCCACTGTAAGAGCGCCATGATAACGCCCTGATCTTGGCACGAATGCACGAGCAATCATTTCATTTTCCGAGGCTAGGTGCCCCTGATCACAATTAGCATTTAACGTCAAGAGATTGGACTTGACTTTTTCATGTAAGCCGTGCATCCAATCGCAGACTTATCGCAGCTTTGTCCGAGTCAGTTGAAAGAAACAATGGTCCCAAAATGGACGTCTTTACGACTTTTAATCATCCGACTTCCCCTTTTGATCACCATCATGAGACTCTTACCTCCGTTACCTCGTGTTTCCCATGTGTACAGCCCAAGACGAGGCGTACGTCGTTTACATACTACCCGGCATCAGGCGCAGCATAGCCTCCGCACATCTTTTTCAATCGATCCCTCGCAAGTCCTTTAGCAAAGGCTAACCACAAGAATAGCAGAACATTCGCGGCGCATCAACCAAAACCATAACCTTATCATGTTCAGCAGCCTTTCTAGCACCCTCGCAGCAGCCGCAAGCGCTAGCGGAGCCAAAGGAGACGCCAAGAAGTCCGTGTCTCCAACACTTCGTGCAGACATCTATAGCGCCATTGATCAGGCAAAGCCCTGGCTCATTGGGGGTACTGTGGGCAGACAAGCCGGCGATGGCGTCGCCTACCAGCCCATCATCGCCAGAATTCACGAGCACTTCCCTGATACGAAAGTGGGGTTGGATGCAGTACGAAACATAGAGCATGAAGTGGCGGCTATCGTTGCTGGCATCACAAATATGATCCTTGAGATGAGCAAGTGGGACGGAATGGCGGGAGCCATGGCCATGCGTACCTGGGTCGACGCACTTGGTGACGCGCACAACAAGATAAGCACTGCGTCTACTGGAGCAAAAGGCGCTTCCCGGAAGGATCAAGTTGGACGAGGAATTACCAGGGGCATTAATCAGTTGACCGACGTCACCCTGATGACAAGAGAGTTTGCGGCGAGGATACAAATCATCTCGCTGTTAAAGAGCGGTGAGTTGAATTTCTAGTATTTCTTTCGAGCTGGTTCGTTTACGCCCACTTCGACAAATCCAGTAAACACGAAGATCCATGGCGCAGGGAGTGATGAGGCGAGACAGGGAGAAGCACTGTGGAGCTCAAAGTTCATATGATGCTTTGAGAGGGAAACGTATTTGCACCTCTAAACAATGGGAAAATTGCCCAGTCAGCACGCTTCGTTGTAGATTTTTTTTTTTACGCCAGACATATTTGACCTTGCAAATTCATGCTCCATAAACCATTAATGTTTCCGTGCAGTGGTTAAATGGGGTTAAGTACAAGGTGCCAAGTGCCCGACGGAATGCCTTCTTCAGCATCTTAACGATGGAATCAACTACGGAATCGCGACATCGATCAGAAGAGGAACGAGAATAGCTATTAAGGGCTCCCAGCTGTCGGCGCAGTTATACATATCTGTCTGTAATACTCATAATGACGGACCTACTCCACACCAGATGACCATCGTGACAATCAACGCGGAATGAGTTGCCCGCAGAAGCCACAAAATGCAACGTCACGTCCGGTCTAATCGCCGTCAGACGGACGAATGATCTGGAAGTAGCTGGCCCCACTGGGGACTACAATATAGCAAGCATACAGTACATGCCAATATTACGATTATATGCGCACTACATTTTTACATGATCTGGTAGAAATGTAAGCCAAGACCTCGTCATCGAGTCGATTACTCACATAATTACGGATGTCCTTCGGGAAGCTTGACGACGACGATTGTGTTGGTGTCGTCTCAGGCGATTCATGAATGTTGGTCATGAAGTCATCGAAGGAGAAGCCATTCAGGTTGACGTCCAACATAAATGGCTCATCCAGCCGGTTTGGCGTGTTGTATTCGTGCGCGTGAGGCCAGCCTTGGCCCGAGGGGTTCGGAGACATAGGATAGTTTTGGAATGGGTGCGGACGGATGGGGTTGGTTGAATCGGGATAAGCATAGGCATTGTTTGCGAGAACTGGTGAATTGGCTTGATATGCAAAGTGTGATGACATGGAAGAGGGGGGCGTGCGTGCAGAGACTGGGTATCTGAAGTGGTATATAGCAGAGAAGATAAGAACAGGGCGTGGGCGACCCGAAGACCTTGTAGGAGTTGTTGGGTCTGGAGCACGGTACACATCTTGAATGATGGTGTATATGGTAGGGTCTTGAGCGAAAAATCAAACGCCTGTTGCACGTCAAAGTCAAAAGGTACGAACCTGGAGATTTGCACAAGGTCTCCCAATACTTGGGAGCTAGAGCTGTGCTGTATAGCAATGGACCGTCACCGGAAGAACCGGTGAAATATGGTCCAACGCATTCGAGTTTCGTGTCCTCGCTGTGTATGGGTGCGCCATCTAATAACACTATATAGGATGATTTGCCAACCACGGCAGAGGGCGAGACGAAGGTTACGGTGGGATCAATGTCCCTCATGCGACGCGGTGTGTTCGATGAGGGGTGGGTTGTAGCGGAAGAGGATGGTGCACGTGAACGTGATGAAGAAGAGCTCGAGAGTGAGCTAGACTCTGGTAAAATGTCAATGTATACTGGAGCACGCGTATCGGGAAGGTTATTTTGTTTAGATGATGGCATGGCTTGGCTGTAATGACGTGCAGAGGACATGGGCGAGTCAGCGGATGAGGAGGTTGATGAGCTGTCGCTTGTTGAAGAGTCCGAGGATAAATAGGAAAGCGGAGGCTTGGATTCACCCTCAAACCCATGTTTATGAGGAGAAAACCTCCGTGACGAGCCGACTTCACTCCGCGTAAGATAACATCGGGTGAGGGAATCGATCACTACCAAAAATAAACCAAAATAGAAGAATATTAATGATGCCGTCTCAATGAACGCATAAACGGCCACGGGATGCGGTTACTCACATTCCCGTCCCTCGGATGTGTCCCTAAATTGTTGTAGACGACTGCCTATTTGCTTTGATGACCTGTGCTTTCCCGTCTTGCGGTAAATGTACTCCGATATGAAGCGATTGCGCATAGGGAATCGACCCAAAATTTGGGTTTCCCGCGAGGCAACGGGTTCATATTCTTGAAGGCCTAGATGAGTGAGCTAAGGCTGTGATCAAGCTGTGATCAGCAAATGTGATTCGCACCTTTAAGCATCGTGGCCTCGAGATAAGGTGGCCATACAGGCTCAGTATTACCCTTCAGAGTTTTCCAGCTTTTTCTGACCTTTGTGATCGTTTGAAAAATGTCTTCTGTACTGTGACTCGGCGATATTAGCCACGAAGGATCGGAACTACATGAACTCGTCATGCTGCTAGTGGATGGCGATGAGGAGCGTTCTGAACGCGCCTCATGAGAGTGAAGCGTGACGTCGCGCGAGCAATGCATGATGTGTGCAGGAGAATGTAACATGAGAGTGATGTGATTTGTGCGTCAAAGATTGTGAAGCACATTAATCGGAGGAGGCTAATATAAAGAGTGTGGGGGTGGGGGGTACTAGTAACGGATCGGCAAACATGGCAGCGAGTTTCCCGGATGATTCGATACTATTTTCAATTAACAGCTTTTGTATGACCTGAGGGGATGATTTGTTACGAACATAAATCTGGAACCCCTTTGATCAAACTACAAGAGCACGCGCAAGGCTTCGCGGTGACATGCTCTTGAGAAGTGCCGGCTTGCAATTGCCTGTATTGGTTCGCGGCGGTGCCGCACAAATAACTACCCCCATTAATATCCAACCAACAACGGTTGCATTTCCTCGAACTATACTGTACGCGCGTCATTCATGCGTAAAAAGACTCAGATCAAGACTCACCACCATGCGTAAAATATACTCCACAATTACATTTCGACGGTAAGCCCACTCGCGAGAAGCCGTTGATATTGTCAGGGAACACTAGTAGGGCTCAGTGTCCCAGCAACACGGCGCGTTGTCACTCACACTGATTTGGTGGAAGCGCTAAGACTCGTCAGTTGATCAGAGATCTCCTTCACCCTCCGGCGATGCAAACACCCCGAACACGGAGAATGCCTTTCATTTCTCCCAACTTGGGTTTGACTTTGCATGGATCCAATTTTAATCGGATTGTCACAAGCTGTGAATAACATTTCTCGTAATCCCTAGCTTATTAGGTATAGGCAAAGATTATCTGTCACGCCCCGGTTTGCCAGGATACTAGTACGTATGTCATTAAACCAGGGTTTTGTCCATTTGTCTTCCAACAAAACGGGCGGCAAAAAATATTTCAAACGAGATTATCTATAACTCTTCCCACAGTCCAGGATCACTGTACCTTGGAAGTACCTTGCGCCCACAATGACACTAATGACACCGGAAGAGGTTAACTGCTAACCGTTTCTCAGGCTTCAGACTGAACCTGAGTCAGGCTCGGGTTCATACTTTGCCTGTGTGGCTCTTTGTTCAACCAAACTGAAGGGCCCATACTTAAAGACGACATCATGGCCTTCCCCAGTACCCTGATCATATCATACATATCATCAAACTTGCGCCTGAGTCCTGCTTCTCATCATTCCGGCTTGTATAAGCGTCCATTGCCGGAGGAGCCTGCATTTCTCGCCATGGCGTCGGGCTCCAGCGATACAGTAGGAGTGGCTACATAATAGTAATACTCCTATTGACTCCAGTTAGTGATCGACGTAAGTCTGAAAGCAATACGAACCACGGTGACTTCGGCATCGGTACGTGTGTGATACCCTTCACCTGAAGCCCTTGACCGCGTCCAGGGCGGAAGAGCTGCTCAGATTGAAGCTTCGACGGCGACTCCAACAGAAGTTTTAATTTGCTGCTTCGAGAAGACTTTCATGAAGAAGCTAATCAATAGAGTGCTATGTTGTGAGGTCCTACAGTACTACGACAACTTAAAACTAATATTTATTTCGAATTTTGCAATCATCTTAGGGCGGCCGCCGTTTCCTACGTACTATAGGGTCAAGATAACCATGATCTCCCAGTTTGCAATGAGTGGGAAAAAAAAGGTTCGTTCTAGAATGGGCTGCCGCAAATTGAACTTCAATTGAACGTCTTGATTGTACTATTGGTTACCACTTGCTCGTGCACACCACATTTCGTGCAGTCACATAAATGTCACGGAAAGTCACGGTGTAGTCACACGAAGTTCCATGGTCACGTACGTAATGCGTGAACGCATGATACAAAATGCCCAGACTCATTAACGTTGGGCTGCGATGAGTCATACTACGAGGTCTAGCCTTAGAAACCAACAGAGAACTAGGCGACAAGAAGGTGAAATCGATCAAGTTGACGACTTGAAGGGATCACACCTCTGAGCGTCTAGACTCTATAAAAAAACTGACAACGTGTAACCGGGTGTGCGATGAGGTACGATGCGATGCGGCCGCGCGTGGGACATGGTGGCACATACTAGACGTCTCTGAGAAAGTTAGTCAAACAGGTCTTCATCGTTCTCTTCAGTGACTGTCCGCTCACAATGGCGTCTTCAAGGCCCGACAGTCTTGCAGATCCATTCACGACGGCACCCAACACTCCTTTAAACCTCAGTTCAACCCTGGAACCTCCTAGAGCCTCTTATCTGTCGTCAAACCCAGAGACTGTCGGCAGCACGCGCGAATCTTACACTGATTCCCCAGATAATCTTTCTCCGTTGGTGCCAGAGGCTGAGAAACGCACCAACGAAGCTTATGGACAGGAGGAAAGCGAAGAACATGGGTTGGAAAAACGATCTATCCTCAGGCGGCCTCTATTTTGGCTCATCACTCTCGCCGTCGTTACTGTTATCGTCCTTGCTGTCGTTCTCCCAGTATACTTTGTCGTTGTCAAACCTCACAATTCCAATTCCAATGCATCTTCTGCAGGTGGGGCTCCTGCAGGTGGGTCAGGTAGCGGGAACCCTACCTCTCCGGCTGGAGGAGGCATGACCGGAGGAAACGGCTCTGTTATCACAATGGCTGATGGCACGAAATTTACTTACTTGAACCCTTTTGGAGGCATCTGTAAGTTCGATCATTCGTTTGCAGCTTGGCAAAAGTTGCACTGGGATTCCTCTCTCAGTTCCAGGCGCTCTGTTGTAAAAACACAATTGAGAATCATGTCTCATGTATTCACGCTCCAAGTGGCGTTACTAATGATGCTCTCGTCTAATTATCTCTCGACTAAGTATTTCAATCTCACTGGTTCTTTGCAGGGGTGGACAATCCAAACGACCCGTTTAACAACGCCGCTTACCCTAATTCATGGACTCCCCCACTTAACGCCAGCTGGACTTGGGGAGTAGACAAGATTTACGGGTCAGTGTCCTTTAGTGACTTATCTGTCACAAGTTCATGGGTGGAAAACGGATGGCTACCTACAGTGTTAACCTCGGCGGACTTTTTGTCCTAGAACCCTTCATCACACCGGCCCTTTACCAGAAGTATCCGGGCTCAGTTGATGAATGGACCCTGAGCACGCTTATGGCGGCGGATACAGCCAACGGCGGACTCGAGCAGCTGGAGACTCATTACAGTACCTTTATTGTGAGTAGATTTCGCTTGGCTTTGGCGGCGCCCGGATTAAGTACGCTTGTAGACTGAGCAGGATATTGCGGAAATTGCTGGAGCTGGACTGAATTGGATCCGTTTGCCTATTCCTTTCTGGGCGATTGAAACATGGGACTTCGAGCCTTTCCTCGAGAAAGTCTGTTGGCCGTGAGTACTGTGCCTCTGAATCATTGCATGAACGTTTTTTCATCTTCTGATTGTCTGTTGGTGCTGACGTTAGCTACATCCTGCGTGTTCTTCAATGGGCACGGAAGTATGGGGTTAGAGTGAATCTCGATCTCCATACCATCCCTGGATCTCAGAACGGTACGTGTTAGCTGGCTATTGTCCGTGTTATGCAAACCTAAGATCACTATGCAGGTTACAATCATTCCGGTAAACTTGGTTCGGTCAATTTCTTGAATGGAGTTATGGGACTTGCCAATGCTCAGCGGGCGCTTGATTACATTAGAATAATCACGGAGTTCATATCCCAGCCTGAGTGGGTTAATGTTGTCCCTGTGTTCACCATTGTCAATGAGGCCCTGGTTTCTACTATCGGAACAGACCAAATCACAACATTGTACGTCCTGATCTGCTTGCATGCGTTAGTGTGTCCTGAAAGCCATCCTATCGGTTAAGTTATCTCCTTGTGCATGATACGATCCGCAATATCACCGGTTACGGGGAAGGGCATGGACCTTACATCGCGATTCATGACGGATTCCTAGGGACGGCGACCTGGGCGAATTTCTTGCAAGGTTCTGATCGAGTCATACTCGACACCCATCCTTACTTCGCATTCGACGGAAACTCTAACCTTCAGCCCATTGCTACTGGTACTGGGTTAAGCGCTGGAGGCGTCTGGCCGCAACAGGCGTGTAGTGCATGGGCCGCTGGCATGAATACCAGGTATGCATTTTACACACGGAGTGACAGCATTCTCACTTTACCATAGTCAGACCGCATTCGGTGTTACCATCGCGGGCGAATTCAGTAATGGTTACAATGATTGTGGGCTTTACCTCACAGGTGTTGGGAATACTGCGAGCTATGGAGAGTCATGCTCTGTCTTCTTAGACTCTTCGCAATGGAACGACACCATGAAAGCGGGTTTTTATGAATTCACGCTGGCTAGTATGGACGCTTTGCAGAACTGGTTTTTCTGGACCTGGAAGGTTAGTTTGAATTTATGCTTGCCAACACGAGGCCCTCAATCAAACTTGTCGTCGACCCCTGCAGATCGGAAACTCCTCTACAACCAATAGCGTCCAGTCTCCCATGTGGTCTTATCAGTTGGGCCTCCAATACGGATGGATCCCTACTGATCCCCGCACTGCTGTGGGCACCTGCGCAGCGTTGGGAGTGACCGGCCCACCATTCGATGGGGTTTATGAAGCCTATCAGACTGGAGGTCCTGGAGCTGGCACCATCGTAGCCACTTCGGTCTCATCTTATGGCCACTATCCGCCAACGCCTATCAACGGTCTTACACCTGGAGCAATCCAATCCCTTCTTCCCACCTACACGTCCACTAGCGCAGTTCCAACTCTTCCTCCTCCCACCTTCTCTCCCAGTCCTTCTCCGTCGGTCAGCACTGGGAACGGCTGGTTTGATTCGGGAGATACGGGTTTGGCGCCAACGCAAGTACAAGGTTGTACCTACCCGAATGCATGGGATGCTGTCAGTTCAGCAATGCCCACGGCACTTTGTCCTTCTACGGGTGCCGCTCCTGTCGTTACTGCACGCCGTTGACCGTCAAGAAACGGCACCGAAGCGACTAGGTTGCGCATCACGAAGCCTGACATTACGACGTTCAACTTCTTCGCAGTCAAGCGCTTCATTCAAGCGCCGTCGGGCCGCCGGCTTCTTTGATGTTACTCGCACTATGTTGTTTTGGACATGTTTTAGGAGGACCGACAGACTCTTTTAATTTTATCGTATTCCAGTCCTCGATCGCTTTCCGCATTGCTCTTGTTGTTGCTGCAGTTGTCATTTTGTACTGCTGAGAATTGGCTAAGGACTCTAACATTTATTGCCGTGCATTTCTAGTTTCGTGCCATTGATCTAAGCAATGCGCCCAATCTAATTTTCTTCCCGGCCTCGATTTTCAAAGGTACCCTTGGGGAATTTTCTGCCTGCGAAGTGCACGCCGAAGACTCTGTTGGGTCATCCCGCCAGCCAGTCAAGACGAATTAGAAGCTGGCAAACGCAAGAAGGCGCTGTGGCGGTAACACGGCAGGCCCATCAGCATGCTGTTGCCTTGCCGTGATACCATTTGTACGTGGTTCGGAGTTTCGCATGCCACTGATGGCGAGTCATCTCGTTTGGTATCTGAAGGATGTTTATAGCAAGTCAAGCAGTTTTGTGGCCGGTCATATCTAGCCACGGAGCACATCGCTTCTCAGTGTGGTAATTGCGAAAATATTTCTGGCTTGCTATTGTGCTAACTTTTAGTCTGGGAGGGGATACAAATGCGTTGGAACAATAATTTTGTTGGAAACGTGCATGATACGAAATTCAGGGTACTATGCGGTAGAGCCACATAATTATCAGGCGTTTACAGAACTCCGGAACTCTGAATCCCTTCCGCCTGGGTGATTACTATATGTAAGTTGCCGGTATTATTCAATTTTTGCACCACTTGTCCACTTTCGTCAACAAGACTTCATCAATCCGCGGAGGACCACAAGCACATGGTAGGGTGTTCAGCCTTGTGTCTCGACTATTGTATTTAATATTTAACCCTTCAATCCAGAGTAATACGAAGACCACGAAATATTTCAGACTCGGATCAAGTCGCTGACTGGAGTCTTGGCGCCTCTTGGGCAAATCGCACTCCTTCGACCACTCAGCTCGCTCTACTGAACGTTCCCCCCTTCTTATCATCAGCCTCGGACAATTGGCTCGGTGGTTTGGCATGGATTCAATTTTTTTTGATCGCGCAGCGCGCTGTTCCCCAACGAACACAGCATAACGTGGTCGTTCCGACAAGCGGTCAGCTTCGACAACGTCAAACATCCCTCCGTCCCATGGGCTAGTCCATTTCGCTTCGTTCCTTATCGTCTTGAACTCTCGTCGGATAGGACTAGCGTCCCTCTTTATATCGAGACTAGGAGACGGGGATACCCGATACACAGAAAGATTGCCAATTCCTGGAGCAGCTGACAACCAGACCTCCCCCGCGACACACACGTCCATGCTACTTACGGATGGTGTGAGAAAACGGCTTGTCAGCTGGAGTGAACGGGCGACTATGAAGACTGCTTCCGGTGCACCGGGGCTACCCCCTCCCCGCAAACTATAACGAGACCAGATACACCAACATGCAGTGGCGCAACAGGTGGCTCTAGTAGTGGAAGACAGCGTCGAGATGACTGCCGTGAGTATATTCATGTGAAGCGTATGTCCTCATCACCGTGACTGACATAAGCGGATATCTCTAGAACGCCCAGCTAAAAGTCTATGCCAAAGTGCGACGTCGGATGTTGCCATACGCCCATGCGGTGTATCCCTCAATTGGAATTCACTGCTCATGCCCTTATCGCCACTCGGGTCAAGGACGGAGTAAAAAATGGTACATGGTCGGACAGAACAAGGAAGTGGTTCAAGTTAAGTGGCGTGTTGCTTTTATCGCATATCGCGGCCACCACTTCATGCATATCCAGCTCCGCGATTCTGCTGCACGGAAAGGTGGCCTGGCGATACCCCCGTCAGATTCTCAACAGCTGTATGATGGGCAATCTGGAGCCACCAATGTGCTGTACGATGGATCTTTGCTTGTCTGTTCGGTCTACTCATCGCGGCAAGTCAAGACATATGGATCCTCACAGCTGACAGGAATCAAGAACGTGATAAGAACTGTGTCGTCATCCCCATGATCAGATCCAACCAGTGGCAGGTATGTTCCACAGGTTACGACTATACAGTTGCATTGCGAGCTCATACCCCTTGCCCAGATTGGAGTCTATCTGGAGACTTGCTCAAGGCTGGCGGTGGGTCAACGTGTCGCTCACGCGTGTGCGGTCAAAGTTGATCATCATTACCTTGCGAAAGACCGTAGACTCGATTAAACTTTTATTCTTGGTGCTCATGGATGAGCGGGCTGGATATCGACGTCGCCTGTCAGGGGCGGATGACACGCACCCGGCATTCTGCAGCGCAATTTCTGGTATTCGTAGTCCTGCAAAGCGACGTAAATATAATAGACCAAGGCTTAGCATCAGTGAACCGCCATTCGAGGAAACCGAAAAACCCCCAGGGTCAGAGGAGATCTGAAGGGCTGCCCATCTTGTAAACAGCGGGCACCATATCTTAGGATGATATGCATCACATACTTTAGGACCAATTTAGGACATACAGATTTTATTACAATTTCTAACTGTACGACTCCAACAGATACAACTACAACGTCACGGAGAGGGGTTTCACAGGAAGTCTAATCTGGGTTATTCAGTGGTAAGTGGTCTGATTGATATTTCACGATGCTTCGTTGATTTGCGTAGCATGCAGGACAGAGATGATAGGAAATTTACTTGAATCATTCATAGACATATGATTCATGGGCGATTCAAGGAGATTTTACTCTGGAAATACCAGAGATACCCCCTGTTTCCTCCGTTGCCCATGTAACAGAGAAAGCGTAGATTCTAAATCACACATTAATTACTGAAGCATTTCCCGCGTCACGTTGTAGCAGACGATTTATTTCGATGACTACTATGTATGAGCCAGCGAACCAGTGGTCGGGGAAAAGGGTGTCGTATATTTCATTCCAAAGTGATCGTGTGTAGTACTTGTGGTGTTAGTACTGACATACTGTGGCTTTGGGTAAAAATGTCCAGTTCCTTGGCGCTTCACTGTGAAGGTGAAGCGCCCGGGAAAGGGAGTCGGTAAAAACGAAGAGTTGCTTGTGTGAGATCGGCTATAAGCTTCAAACTCCGATTTTAAGCGCTGGAGTCGTATGGAAATTCAAAGCACACCGTGTCACCGTCGACTTATCTCGCATTGGAATAGGTATTAGTATATTAGTAGTTAGAGCCATCTGCGAGAAGGGCGATTTCTCTTGTTACAACCTTCGCAGTGGAACAGCACCATGTTGAAAGTACTAGTAAGCAGGTTCTTTACAATAATATAACTTCACGCTTGCTAAAAATGTAAGATCATGCACGCCAGCGCGAGGCCCTCATTGTTGACCCCTGCAGATCGGAAACTCATCCGTGACCAACGGTGTCTAGTCTACCATGGCGCCCACCGGTTAGTCACGAGGATGGATCCCTACAGATACGCGCACTGCTGGCACCCGCGCAGGTTTTAGATTGACTGGCTCAGGTCCTGGAGCTGGAACGATTGTCGCGCCCTCGGTCTTATCTCAACGGTCTTACACCAGGTCCCCCTACACGTCCACTCCAAACTCTTCCGCGTCCTTCTCTGGGCACCGGGAACGGCCGGTTTGACATGGGTCTAGCACCAAGGTTGCACCTACCCAATTACATGGGATGCTGCTAGTTCAGCAATGCCCGCGGCACTTCGTCCTTCTCCAGGGGAGCCGCTCCCGTCGGTACTCCGCGTTTGTCTCGGCGTTGACCATCAAGGAATAGCACCGAAGCTACTAGGGTGTGAGCGTCGGCAAGTTACGGGGCTGAACTTCTGCACAGTTCACGCGCTCATAGATGCGCCGTTAACGTTGGGCATACAAAGTTTTTATCTGAATGCAGTCGGCCGCCGGCTGTCTTGACATCTCTCGCATAGTATTGTTTCGGACTTATTATGGGAGCCTGGAGGATTAACTGACTGCTATCTCATCGTATTCTAGTTGTTGTTGTTGTTGTTGCCGCACTTGACATATCGTACTGCCCAGGATTGACTGAGGACCCTAATCATTGACTGTTACCGTGGATCTGGAGTCTCATGCCATGATCTAAGCAAGTGCGCCCGATCACCCTATTGTCCCCCAACCTCGGTTTTCAAAGGTACTCTTGGCATTTTCCTTCCGCAAATTGCACACCGAAAAAAACGGTCAGGTTGTTCCAGTAATCAAGACGTTTCGCTCAAGAAGACGGCGGCGGCTAGCACAGCATCCGCATGTGGTTGCCTTGCCGTGATCTGTTGTATCTCCGTCTGTGTGTGCTTCTGAACTTCGCATCGTGCGACATCCGATTTGACGTCTGAAGGATTTTTATGGTAATTCAAACGGTTCGGTAGCACAGCAGTCTGCCAGGTAAGCTTTGGTGCCATGCTTCTCAGTGTGGTAATTGGAACGGGCGAAAAAGATTATGCCTTGCATCGTGCTGGCGTTTAGCCTGGGAGCCTGACAGGGATACGCACGATGCACCCTAGGGAATTTGGGTTTATTTATCGAGCAACACTCCTGCCGCGTGAAAAAAATTCAGGGCATGCGGCGGGGAGTGGCGACACAATTATCAGGCGTTTGCAGAACCCCGGAACCCCTTTTCCTGCAGATTAGCCTTCAGGGATTTTTCAATTTTGGATCGGTCGACAGCTTTCGTCAACCAGACTCTTCACCACCCTGCGCATCACGAAAAACCCGCGGAAAACCGCAAGCACATGGTAAGGTGCTCAGCCTCATGTCTTTTACCGCTGAATTGAAGCTTCTACCCTTCAATGTAGGTGGGAAACCACGTAGACCCTTGTTTCAGATTTCGCAGACCCGAAGGCCTGGCCTTTCCAATTAATTGTATGACTCAATGCACTTAGCACGCTCTGCTAAATGCCCCCCTCCCTGCTTATCATCGGTCTCGGACAACTCCGTGCACGTGGACTTGTCGTCGTCGACACACAGTTCAGCTTTCACAACGTCAAACACGTCAAACATTAAAGGCCCTCAAGTTACTGACTCTGCCCATGGTACACATACCCGACTTCCTCAGCAGACTGCAAACGCCGTTGAATATAAGAATACTCGCAGTGTTTTCTGTGCAATTGTCGTGAGGTGCGCAAATTTCGTAGAGAACGAGGCGCCAAACTTACGTCCAGACTGTATAATAGGAGTACGGTACTCGAGGCAGGAATGATGGGGATGATCCTAAGGCTGGAAATCTTACTCAGAGGGAACATCCTGCTGACGCATGCATGGGTTCCTGGTGCTCATGCGCTACAAAGGGCAGTTTCTTCTAGGCATGGACTTCAAATTAACAGATCAATCAAATGCGATGAACCATCTCGCCGTATGCTGAACACAGGACACCCCGCGATCAGGGGAAGAACGATGATTATTGGCGCGGACTCAAGCCTATCAAGCCCATAGATGCTACTAGCGGCGGCGAACCACGGAGTCTTCGTACCCGTGTAGCATGGTGGTATTAACACAGGAACACTCTGCACAACCTCCGAATGTCTTCCACTAAACTGAGTGGCACGCTCTGCTAAACGCCCCCCTTCCCTGCATCTCATCGCTTTCCGAAAACTCCGTGTACGTGGACCTGTGGTCGTCGGTAAGTAGTTCAGCTTTCACAATGTCAAACACGTCAAATATCAAACGCTCTCACTTCCCCAATAGCCCACAAGTATCGTGCTGAAAATAAGAACACTCGCAGCTTTTTCTGCGCAATTGTCGAGAGGTGCGCAAATTTTGTAGGGAACGTGTCCCAACTTACGCCTGGACTATATACTGGGAGCACGGTACAAATCACGTAGACCCTTGTTTTCAAAATTTGCAGACACAAAGAAATCCAGGTCAGACTGGCCGACTCAAAGCACTTGATGGGCCCACTCTGCTAAAATTTCCCCCCTGTTTATCGTCTTCGACAGCTGGCTCGGTGGCTTTGCTTGGATTAGTCGTCGACAAGCAGTTCACCTCAAACACATCAAATATCGAACGCTCTCTAAGTCAGCGACTTCCCTTTGCCCGCGGTACACACACCCGACTTCCCCAGCAACCCACAAACATCGTATCGAAGATGAGAACTCTCGCACCTTTTTCTGCGAAATTTTTCGAGAGGTGCGCAAAGTTTTAGAGAACGAGTACGCCTAGACACTACTAGGAGCACGGTACAAACCACGCAGACCTTAATTTTCAGATTCGCAGACACGAAGGCCCGGCGTTTCCAATCGTTGAACTCAATGCGCTTAGTAGCTCGCACTGCTCAACGCCCCCTTGCTTATCATCAGTCTCCGGCAACTCACTCGATGGTCTGTCTTGGATTCACTTCAACGTTTGTCATGGAGTTGGGCTGTCCCTCGTGCACTGGTGGACCTGTGGTCGTTCCGATAGGCAGTTCAGCTTTCACAATGTCAAACACGCCCATGGTATACACACCGACTTCCTCAGTAGACCGCGCACACCCTATCTAACAACAAGAACCCTCGCAACTTTTTCTGCGCAATTGTAGGGGTCTGCAAATTTCGTAGAGAACGAGGCGCCAAACATCTTTCACTTCTGAATTGTATGCTAGGAGCCTGGCAATGATGGGTATGATCCTAAGGTTGAAACTCTTACTCAGAGGGAACGCACTTTCTTCTGGCCAAGAACTTCAAATCTTACGACATGACAGTTCAATCAAACGCGATGAATACTCTGCGATAAGACAACGAGCCTATCAAGTCCGGCAATGCTACTAGCAGCGGTGAATCATGGAGTCTTCGTAACCGTGTAGCGGAACGCAGGAAAACCCCGACCAACTTCTCCTAGGAACGTGTCGAATGTCTTCCACTAGGCCGAGCCAGTTTTCCGGTGCAGGCCTCGCACGTGATAAATATGTCTATTGGGGTGGACGGGATGCCGGTAGAATCTCGACAGCTGCGCCACAGCTAATACTACTCCTCGCAATTTAACACTGCGAACCGGAGATGATTCGCCATGGAGTGGCGCAACACAGCGGCTCTGCTGGAGATGTTTTGGAGGACTCAAGATCGTAAGCGTATGTTCGTCAAAAAGCCCAGCCGGAATATGAATTGACCGCCGTGCGACGTGAATCTCCATGCCATTGCAGTACGTCCCTAGATTGACGTTGACTCCTCACACCCTCAAGGCCAAGATATAACAGTAAGAATAGAACTTTCTGATACAACAAGGAAGTGGTTCAAGAACGCTGGTCCGAGCCGAGTTAGGGATTCCAAGTTAATCAACAAAGCTAGAATGCCTCGCTCGACCAAACCGGCCGCGTATGGCAAAGATTCCGATATTGATGTCTACGTACTTTAACATCACAAGCTGTATTTCACCTATGATGCGCATGTATACAACGCATTCATTTGAACAACCCGCAGAGCAGCGAGGTGCATACCTGTAACTGCTACAATTGCGGTACACCTGAACACATCGCCATGTCATGAAGAGGCAGGTAAGAGCATGGAGGCCTTTCCATGATGGGCCATGGCCAATGTCGTGTATCAACCAGGCGGTGCCAAACCATGGCTAACCGGAGTTTGAAACCTAATCTGATACGGTGCCATCCTGTTTAACCACAAGAAGCGACTCGCGGACTCGGTTAATTTTGGGTCACCAAGGTAGTTTCAAATGGTGAGCTGGCAATGGTGTAAAGGAAGCGGTAGGGAAGTTGAAAAAACTGACCAGCATCTCGTTTGTTCTTTTTAGCAGGTTCTGGCACGCACGAAGACAGGATATATCGGCAAGGAAACCACAGGAAGTACACGAGGAAGACAGGCCGAGATAGGCAAGTGAAGCGCCTGAGTCAGTTTGTGGGTTTGCGTCGAGGTTGATAGTACTAACGGTGATGTGATAGTTGTGATTAGGCTGCGATTCGTGGGCACGAAGAAGTACTAGAAGATATCAGAGGGATCAAGGCCTATACTTAACGCGCGGGGAAGTGTCACGAAACTATAACTGCCTCAAGGTCTTTTTGCTGTATGAGCGAGAAATCAGATGACGGACATTGCAAGTTCAAACAGAGTCGGAGACTCGGAGTATTTGAGCCTCGAGGCGAGGGGACGCAACGGGAACGGAACCAATCAAATTACTAGTGCTACTCAGGTGAAAGTAGACCGACCTCCTCATTATAGCCGCAACGTTGGTCTGGACAAGTCGACACCGTACCACCAAGATCACGACCTCGACCCAGTCTAGTAGAAGAACTTGGACGATCAAGAAAGCTAGAAGTAGATCTAGAATCATCGATATCACATCTTCCATCTTCACGGCCACTAGATTGGATCGCAGCGCCTTCTACCAAGCCAGGAATGTTGCCAATACTCCAACTAGCGCCAGAGTCTGCAGAGATGGTTCCCGTACTTCGTACTCATAGTTTTTCATCTCTTTCACAACTTCTTGAAGCTCTTGGCTCTACACCCGATCTTCAATCCGTTCTTGGTGTCGTTGACGAATTTGAAGACGACTTTGATAGAGAAAGGGAAACAGAGAGCCTCGTTAGTGATAACCTCCCTACTCCCCTCAACACCGGTCCCGACGCTGCTTATACCGTTTACGTCGACTCTGATACCACCGATACAACTAACGCCGGTCATACTCCTACCGTGGAATCAATACATACTCTTATACCTTCTCCCCGTTTCCCTCAAGACAAGGATCTCCCACTCCCACCTTCTACTCTACCCCTCTCCCTACCCATGAAATCACGAACACGTACCGACAACCGTCTTGAGGTCTCAGAGGATCGGGTTCATGTAGTTGTGGAGAATCATCAGGAAGATCCGGTGATGGCGCCCTCTCCACCCACTCCCGCAATCACGAAACGTCGACATGCTCTCCTCGAGCTGCTTACCTCAGAACGTGCCTATGCGAATGACCTCGCTCTCATCAGGGATGTGTATATGAGGTTGGCGTCTGGTGACTTGCTTTTTGTTCTTACTTTATTCTCCTATTCTAATACACCTTTCATTCCAGGTCATCCTCCACCATTCGCTTTCTCCAAAGCACGACCAGTCTCAGGATCAGAAATATCAAATCCCGGTTCTAACACATCCAGTTCGGGTTCCGATTCTACAAAGTCTAGCTCAGGCACACGCTCGTCCTCGTCTTCACGCACAGTCAGCACAATCTCTACATCCGACGCATCCACCTCGGGGCATTGCCCACCTACGATACAGCTCAACGTCCCTTCTCTCCAACTGACTGTGCCTACACTAACGCCAATAGGTACTTCTGATACTCTGTTCGTCGTTCACTTACTGACCGCATTTTCGTAGTTTCTCCACTTGATTCCTCCAAGCCTCTAACACAGCTTCCACGCCCGATATGTGAACCTCCACTGTCTATCACCGACATACGCATCATTTTTCGTAACCTTTCCGACCTTGCTGTTCTATCCGAAATGGTCGTCTCCAAGCTCGAGAGAGTCGTCGAAGAAGGCAAGGGTGTGGGCGAGGTTTTTCTGGAGGTGGTGAGTCCCTTTTTGTCTCGAATGACATATTTGGCGCGATCACTAACGTTTCCCAGATCCCCCTCCTCGCACCCCCTTACACGACCTACATCACCGCACACCCTCGCGCACTCGCACACCTCGACGCCCTAAGCGCCCCTCCGCAGCTCACCCCCCAATTCTCGCGGTGGCTCAAGGAGAGCAAAGAACTGGTCGAGGCACACACCCATGCTTGGGACCTACCCAGTTTGCTAATCAAACCCGTGCAGAGACTACTCAAGTACGGGTTATTATTGGGCGCTGTGATCAACGCTACCCCAGACCCGCTCGTGGTAGTCACTTCAGAGAGCACGGGTGATACCTCGGGGAAACTGAGGGAGGGGACTGAAGGACTGGAGAAACTCAGAGAGGCTAAACAGAAAGTCGAAGAAGTAGCTCGTGCTGTGAACGAAGGACGAAGACGGGTAGAAGTCGTTAGAGAGGTCCTCGAGTCTGGACATGCAAAAGATGGCGCTACAACAGGGGGTGTCGGCATCCCCAAGGTAGGCGCCGTCTCACGCATGCGTTCTCTCCGCACTCCAAAGCCCCTCGCAACGTCCGGAAAAGCACCCACGAAACAGAAAGGCAACTACCTTCCAGAAACAGAGCCTGACCCTGAACACGCTGAAGCGGCCCTCGTCGCTGCCCTCGAAAGCAAGCTCAAGTCGCACATCACTACCCTCTCTCATCTCGCTCGGGATGCAGTAGCATACGCTCGGACTCTGCATGCACTATTCGGTGCACTTGTCAAGTGGGGATGGGCGTTCGCAGGCGTTATTGGCGTCACCGTGAGCCCTGAGCTCAACACTTCCAGTTCCAATCCCACTTCAACATCTCACGCTAGTACACCAGACCTCACAGGGACTGGTCAAAGCGAAGCCTTCGACGCGTTCCTCGCACTATGTACGGGTCTCGTCGAACTCACACAGGAACTCGAGCATGAACTTCACACACACATCCTCCCATCCCTCCAATCTCTTAAAAACACCTCCGTCGCACCACTTAAGCTCCTCAGCGCACTGCACGCTCTGCAACCGCTACATCTACACCTTCTGCACCTCCCAATAACGCGCAAGCATCGTCCGCCTGAGACGCTGCTACAAGCAAGCCAGAGCTATGTCGCACTGCGTGGGCAGCTTGCGCTGGAGTTGCCTGTGTATGTGAGGCTCCTGGAACGCGGCATCGACGGGGTGGTGCTAGACCTAGCAAGAGGGATGGAAGCATTCTGGGGAGTTGTGGGTGAGCGGTGGGGAGAGCTGTGGGATGCGCTGCGGGTAGAGGGGGAGGGCCTTGGAAGGGCTGAAGATGCAGGTGTATCAAGAGACATTATAGGCCATGTGGACCGACCAGGGAGCGGAGGCGAGACGGTACGCGTCTGGCGCGAACGATGGGGTGATGTGTTGGGCGTGCTTGGGACCTTGGCGGTTGTCAGTCACCCTAGGAAGATCGAGCGGCCGCGTGCTGTGAATCCGCAGCAATACGTTGCGCAGTATGGTCAACAGCAACAACCGCAGCCGCAACGGGCATCACAGCCAGGCGCAAGATCGGCAAACGTTGCTGCTACGCTTAGCGCTCTCGATTCGCAGCCATCGCCAACGCGTCAAAAGCACCATCAGCATCAGGGATCCTACGATGCTCGATATGCTGCCAGGGAATCGTACGAGGGCCGGCCTAGGAGGGAAGAACCGAAGTCTGGGCGGGAGAGGGAGCGCCTTTCATCTGGTTCTGGAACATACGACCCCCGATTACATGACCCTCGCAGCTCACAGGGTTCTTACGATCCCCGCAGCTCGCAAACTTCTTACGATCCTCGCAGTTCCCAGAGCTCCTACGACCACCGCAGCTCACAATCATCTTCTTCCTCGTACCGCCCGTCACACTCACACTCCAACTCTTATGATATTTCTGGTCGACGACGCAGTGGGAGCACAAATAATGTCCCTACTGGTCCTATTCTACGCAAACCTTCTGATGAATCTCTGCGTTCTGGGAAATCCGGAAAGTCGGGCAAGTCGTTTAGGAATAGCCCCGGTCCTGGTCCTGGGAGGGGCATCGAGGATGTGCCCCCTGTGCCTTTTGCTCCACAGCCCCCATCGCAGTCTCGCAGCGGCGTCTCTCCACCGCGCCTCAAGCCCACACGGATGAAGAGTATGCCTGGGCCTATGCACAACATTATACCCTTCGGCATCGATCCCCCACCAAGCCCGTCGTCGTTCGGCACCTTCGACGAGGAGCAGGAAGAAATAGATAGAGATAGAGACCGGGGTCGTGGCCCGCAGAGACGATCAAGCTTAAAGAGTAAGATCACAGATACATTCCGACCGTCACACAGGAGGCGCTCGAGTTCTGTCAAGAGCATTGGAGCTCCGAGCGTGCTGGCGCCGAGTTATCACACCACAGATAGCGCATTACCCGCATACCCAATGCCCACAACGCCAACCCGCACTCATTCACCACAAACCCCCACTCGACGCACCACCGACTTGCAAGGGCTGCGCGCGCTCTACCAGTGCGCTGCGATACACATGTGTATACCACCTCAGGGAGTGTCGTATCGCGGTCTACCGTTCTTCGAGTTAAGGTCTGGAGACACGTTTGATGTACTTAGGGAGTATGGACATCCGAGCACTCATCCGGATTTACCGCTTTATGTAGATGATGGGGAGGATTGTTTGTTGCTTGTGCGGGAGCTTGCTGATGGAGGGAGAGGAGAGGTTGGCTGGGCGTTGGCGAGTTTTTTGGTGCCGCTGGATTGATCATTGAGTTGTTCTGGTGTTGGGACGGTTGCTTTCCCCCCATCTGCATCTGATATTGATTAGAATATAGGGTGTTCTTTTCGGTCGCGCTTAGAATCTGTTCACACATTGTACCCCCACTTCATTTGCATCATCTCATTGTACGATGTAGTAGTACATACGCATGCTCGTCAACAGGTCTTTTACATTCTTCCCTTTGATTTCTGTCGATGTTACATTACATATATACATGCTTAGTCGAGGAGGATAGTTCCATGCGCAGTGGGATTTCAAATTGTTTACATCTTACTCAGAGGTGCATCAATACAGCGATCATGGCACAGTCGTGATAAGTTTGTTGCAGTCAGAGACTAGAGCAAGTGAAAATAGAGTAAAGGGCAATAGAAAATAGGATATGAAGGATCAATTGTCTCTATGCTAGGTATGTCCATTATCGAGTTTGAAGATTGACATGAGTAGGTGAATGAAACAGGACAAGATGGAGCGTGTTGTGGCCTGCGTGCAGGAATGTCCAAGAAAGAAGAAGGCATGAGGGAATGTCCGGTTCCCGGGTGACGTGTACAATGACTGAGATGTCTTGCAGACCCGAGTGAAGGGATTGTGACATGATACCAAGATCAAGGCAAGTCGTCGGGAAAGGTATGGGGAAGACCCTTGTGACGCTTCCTGCTTTTCTCGTGGCGTCTGCAGTCACTCTGATTAAAAAATGCATTCTCACAGCCAGGAATGCGGCAGACGAATGGTCTCACACCATTGTGAGACTGCATATGACCTATTGCATTCATCTTAGCGACAGCGCAAAGGGGATTTGGCGGACATTACTTACGCTTCAAATTAAATATAGCTGTGAAGGTCTGCCCACACTCATCGCACCGGTGGGTGGCATCGTGGCGTCGACGCCGTTGGTTGGCTTCAAGCATTGCTTGAACGGCGGCAGGACGAGTCGTGCTAGACCTCGAACGTGCGCGAATGTGCGCCGGGGGGTAAGGTGCATGCCAAAAAAATGTGGAGTCGCTTGGGGAATGGTGATGTCGGAGAGAAGCTGAGCTTTCTCGACGCGAAAGACCTGAAGGGGCAATCATGGGAGACAATTTGCCCTCAAAAGACGGGGAGGCAACATGATACCACGGAGATTGCGGGGAATCACGACCAGTGGGGCTGGAAAGCGCTGTGAAGTAGGATGAGGGGGACGATGACGATGACGACGATGTAAATAGAGATATAAATTGTCTGTTGTCAGCGGCATTCTGTGGTATCGTCTGTGGTGGTGGGGGAGGTGGGATCACGTGAAGAGACTCATGAGGAAATGATCCAAACGGCTCAGGGTCACGTAGGTACCCTAAGTTTTGCGATTGCTGAGTTGTACCGCCTAAAAGGGATGTCTCAAGTTCCCCAAGGTAAAAGCCCTCGGTGCTCACATCCTCTGGTAATGATAATATAAGATTTGAAGATTCGCCTGGGAACCTCTTCAGCTTGACCATAGACAAATGGCATGTATCGACTTACGTCCTTCGGGAAAGAAGAGCACAGAAGAAAACATGGATGACAGATCATCATTGTACATGTCGTACAAAAACAAGTCAGCATCAAGCCTACGTGAGGTGACGTATGAGTCAGGAGTCAGCGACAGGCGGTGCAGCGGGAGATGTACTGTGCAGGAGCGCACCTCGTTTGATCAGAGAAAGTGAGAGCTACTTCCTCTCCAATGACTTCCGCTGCCCCTGGGCGATCCCCCGGGTTCCAAGACCAACACCTTTGAATCAAGTTCCAGTGATAGTCAAGGATATTGTCGGGACGCGCATGTATGTCTTTATTGAATAGCGCAATGGGGATTTGAAATGAGTTCTTCTCTTTCCATGGCATATTCCCCGAGATGATCTGAGAGAAGAAAGATCAGGGTAGAACTGTAGAAAAACACAGAGGTCGCACAAAGAACATGACACCACCAAACGAATAGATATCGCTCTTGAAAGTCGGCCTTTCACGGTCACCATGGACTCCGATAACTTCAGGCGCACGCCATCGAGCATCCAAGCTGCGGTTCGCGGTCGTCGTAGACCACTGCAATTCTGCGTCCCCCGTGACCGTTGCGAGACCGAAATCTATGAGTCGTGGATTCCCTAAACTATCTATGAGCACATTTCCCTAAGGCTTACAAGTGAGTGCAACATCCACAGTGAGACAACCGTACATACAGGATGAAGATCTCCGTGAACGACATTCTGCGAGTGAACTGGATAGGCGTCAATAATCAAGATAACAGCATGATAAAAATTGACGAACGATATTTCAGGCCATCAGCGATGCCCATGACCTTGTAACATACAATTAATGAATGCTTGGCGAATGTATTCAAGGAAATTACCAATCCAAGTTTAGCGGAAGCGGTAATTTATATGGTCATTTCAGAAATACATTTCAAACTTGAAAAAAAATTCCTTCTTGTGGGCTGGTACATATCTTGGAGGGCACTTCTAGGAATGATATGAGCCAACAATGAAAGAAAACGGCGGTTGGGTTGTGGAGATATTGTCAAAATACTGACTTTTCAGCCCACCTGACATATCACATCATTGTCGACCTCTGGATGCTCTGGGACCATCACCAATCGATTCCTAGGCCTCAATAACCTCAGTTACATTGTTTTCAATATCGTTATTGAGGTGCAATATCGGAATAGTGACATAAAGGTGATCAGGGGGGGAGGAGGACCTTGTATATCTCAGGAATATGATTTTTCCAGGGAAATCTGGCATGACCATCGTGTTCAGAGGGCTCAAGAACCCCCAGGAAAAATAGTTCTGAAGGACAGGCAAGTCACATGAAGGCTAGAAAAATCGATCTTTGGGTGGGGCAGCATGACAGGGGTGGTCAACTTTGGAACATGATTTTTAGAGCGAAATCTGGCTCGACCATCGTGTTCATATGGTCAAATAACCTCTAGAATGAATCCTAGCTAAAGCCAGGCAAGTCATATGAAGGCTGAAAAAATCAATCTTTGGGTGGGGCAGCATGGCAGGGGTGGTCAACTTTGAAACATGATTTTTAGAGCGAAGTCTGGCTCGACCATCGTGTTCATATGGTCCAATAACCTCTAGAATCAATCCTATCTAAAGCCAGGCAAGTCATATGAGGGCTGAAAAAATCGATCTTTGGGTGGGGCACCATGACAGGGGTGGTCAACTGTGGAACATGATCTTTAGAGACAAATCTGGCATGACCATCGTGTTTGTATGGTTTAATAACATTCAGAAAGGTTCCTAGTGAAAGCCAGGCAAGTCATGTGAAGGCTGAAAAAATCGATCTTGGGATAGGGCACCATGACAGGGGTGGTCAACTGTGGAATATGATTTTTAGAGACAAATCTGGCATGACCATCTTGTTTATATGGTTTGATAACATTCAGAAAGGTTCCTAGTGAAAGCTAGGCAAGTCATGTGAAGGCTAAAAAAATCGATCATTGGGTAGGGCACTATGACAGGGGTGGCCAACTGTGGAATATGATTTTTAGACACAAATCTGGCATGACCATCGTGTTTATATGGTTTGATAACATTCAGAAAGATTCCTAGTGAAAGCCAGGCAAGTCATGTGAAGGCTGAAAAAATCGATCTTTGGATAAGGCATCATGATAGGGCTGGTACTCAACTTTGGAACATGATTGTCAGAGACAAAAATAGTATCACCAATGCATTCATAGGGTTCAATAACCTCGATCATGAGTCCTAGTTAATGACAAATGTGACATATCAAGGGCTATCTATTTGAGTTGAAAAATTATGGGGGCATAGATTTTTCCTTCGAGGAAAGTCCTAATATGGTTAGAGAGGGAAAGAGGAAATTATATAATCGGTTACAGAAGGAAAGAAGCATTACATACTTGGTTACAGAGGAAGAACTATGTCTAAAATGGTTAGACTTAATGCCAAGAACAAGGAAAGATGACACAAAGGAAAGGAAAGATGACACAAAGGAAAGGAATGGTGACATAAAGGAAAGGAAAGAAGGTACGAAGGGAAGGAATCATGACTAAGAGGAAAGGAAAGAAGGTACGAAGGGAAGGAATCATGACTAAGAGCAAAGGAAAGGAAGCATGACTAAGAGGAAAGGTTAGGAAAATCATCACTAAGAGCAAAGGACGAACAAAAGGTTAGGTATTCCTTAATTTTTCCTCGTCCCCCCTAATCTATCTCTCCCTATCCTTTACACTCCATCATATCCACCGATCTCTCAAACACTGCAAAATACTCTATCTCACTCGTCCCTCATGTAAGGTTGACTATCAGTTCAACAGGAAAATGTGAACAAAACATCATAGCTTTGAGACGTGCTAATTGATGACACAAACACAGGTTCTTAGAAAAAGACACTTTCTGAGAGGCATCGGTTGTACTTGGACCGGGGAATCAGTGTACAATATGATTGTATATATACAATTTTGAGTGATTGACTAGGCCAGAATGAGCATCAGGAGCATATGGTGAGTGTAGAGATGAATCGTCAACAAGGTTGGGCATTCCTTAATTTTTCCTAGTCCCCCCTAATCTATCTCTCCCTATCCTTTACACTCCATCATATCCACCGATCTCTCAAACACCGCAAAATACTCCATCTCGCTCGTCCCTCAACTCCACCTCCTCACTTCATCTTTCCCTTCTTCCACTACAATCCTATCATAACAACATCTCAACCATCCTCTTCGCACTCCTCCTCTCATCTCTTACTCAATCCTTCCCTACTAATACTCTAAAATACTTCCTCTTCATCTTCATCTCCATTCGCTACTCATCTCGCACCAGAGCCCATACCTAGTCTACTTTCTCAATCTCAACCCCTATCTATAACAATACAACTATGTGAACCGCTCTCCCCCGTCTCATGTAAAATAAGTGCTACCAGGGCGTAGCTGCTCCACTACCTGCCCAGCCTTTCAAATCTCCCTCACCTTTCGTCCTTTTCCTCACTTCGGCCCCTAGCCTTTCATCTCCGTTAGCCTTCGTCCATTTGGTTACTCCGGTGCCCAGCCTTTCATCTCCGTCGCCCTTCATCCGCCGCTAATCTTCGCCTATCCCATCCCTGACTTCTTCGCCTCTCTCGCCACTTAAATTCTGCTATTTCATCCCCCCCTGCTTTTTGCTCTTCCATCCTACTCATCTCCTTCATACTCATGTCCTTAGATAATGCCAATTCAAGACGCAATTGGGAGCACACCTCCCAACCTGGTCTCGTCACCATTTCTGGCATTCAGTATCGCATCTCTCGTGCCCCAGATGGCTCCATCTGCTGTCCTGTTCCTGCCTGCCCAGGTACCTTCAACAGGAGGTCCGCCTTCAAGACCCACTTGAAAACTAGTCCGTCTCTCCTTCTCTCCCTTTATCTCTTTCTCTTATCTTCCTTCCTCCTTTCCAGATCATCTATCTCCCCCTCAACTCCTCGCCTCTCCTCCCCAACTTCAACCTCGTGCGTTCCCCTTTTTTCTCTCCATCCCCCCTTTCATATATCTACTTCATCCTCCCTCCTTTCTCTTTCCATCTTCTTCTCTATCCTTTTCTCATCCCTCTCATATTCTCTTCCAGTTCTTCCTCAAGCCCCCCTCCCTCTTCCTCCCCCCTCTCTCCAGCCGTCCCTCGATGAATTTCAACTCGATCCCAGTCCGTCTTTCTCTCTCTCCTCCATATATCTACTCCCTTACCCTTCGTTCCCTCAAGCTATCTCTCGCGTCGTCCTTAATCCTGGCCAAGATTATCTTCTCTCCACCCCCCTTTTGGATCAGCTCGGCCTCTCTTTCCACACGGCCCTCAACATTTTCATCTGTATCGCCTGCAAAAAGTCTCTCACCGCTGCCATGGTCTCTGGTCACCGCAAGGCTCACCATAACCAATCCCTCGACAAAATTCAGCTCCAATCCCTCGACCAATTCGTCCTCCAATACAACGTCTATCGTCGCCAAGAAGAAGTTAACATCCCCGCTCACGCCGGCCCTCCCGTCCAGCTTATCGCCCCTCCCCGCCCAGGCTTCCTCTGCACTCAGTCCCTCGATTGCCATTACGCTGCTTGCACCATCACCACCATGATAAACCATGGAAGGCTCGTCCACAAAGCATCCTCCAACGCCATGACCTACGACCATGCTCTCGTTCAACAGCTCTTCGAGTCCGTCGGCCGCGTCTACTTCGTCGTCCTCCAGCCCCCCCCTTCTCACCAGCCCATCACCATCAGAGACGCCCTTTCCCATTCCTTCCTTCCTTCCCTCGATCTTCTCCTCGTCCCCTCCTCTCCCCTCCCTGACGAGGAGCGAAGGTCCCTCATTAAAGTCATGGCCTGGGATCGCTTCATGCCCGACGTCCGTTCAAACAGATCCGACGTCAAATTTTTGGACGCCCTCAAGGCTCGCCACACAGAAGATGAATTTCTTGGTTTTTTCGTCGCCTTGGACTCCCTCGTAAAAGCTTACTTCGCCATCGCTCCGGACCTCCTCGAAGGTAACCCCCACAGTTTCACCATCTGCAAACTCATCTTGCATGGCGACAACGTCACAAAGGATTCGTAAGTTCTTCCCTCCCCTCCTTTCTCCTCCTCTTTGTAATCCCCTCCCTCCAGAGATTACTGGCGTCCCGTCTCAAAGAAAAATACTCTATATAGCGATCTCCTCCTCCAGTTTTTGCGCGCCATCCTCAGGCTTTATCTCTCCCAACACAACCCTTCCAACTTCTCCTTCGGCCTCCACCCCAACCAGACACAGGCCCTCCACGCCTTCGCCTCCACCATAAATCGCCCTGACCCCCCTCCCGTCCCCGACTTGGGCCCCGATGGCGATCCCATGAAGAAGTTGCATGAGTTTTTATGGTCTTTGATCGATGCCGCCAGCGTTCATCCAGAACAGACCTGGGCCAACGTCATCCAGCGCTTCATATGGTTCAAGGCTCTCCGCCGCGACGCCAATTTCTACGAGTCCACTGACCTTGCCCCGGACCTCGCAAAATTAAAGTACTTCGTCAACAACGCTTGCATCGTCCATGCTCTCTGGTACCAGAAGCACTCTCTCGTTCCTCAATTCGAGTCAGTCCTCTCCCTCTCCTCCTACCTCATCCTCTTCTCATCCCTCCTATTTTAGACGAGTCATAGCCGTTCACCGCGAGGTCTTGGCCCTCGGACGCCCCACCACCTTTAATATGCTTTTTGAGTTTCAGCAATACGCCTCCTCCTTGGCTTGGAACCAGCAACGCGAGCCCAGGGTCTTCTTCGACCCAGACTATCAGTGGATAATCGTCGGACGAGAGACCTTGTACCTCTCCAGATTTCGTCATGGCATTCAATCTCTCCTCGACCAGATCGAGGACAGGTACCTCCTCCTCACCCGCGGTCGCATCATGATGCATGGCCTCCCTGACCATGTCGCAGATGACATGACCAACTCCATCCGCGGCCATTCCTTCGTCAACGACGTCCAATTCGATCCCCTCAAGCTCCAGCTTTTCTTCCATCTCGTCGACATCCATCGCTTGGCCATGCTCGATCGGGACGGCCGTCTCGCCTGGGATATACCCGCAGTAAAAGACATCCTTCGCCGTACCGGCGACATATGGAAGCCCCTCTATCATCTTCTCTACATCACATCCCAGATATCCACCAGAGGCGTCCAATTTTTGCAACACCAAATCGCCAATGCCGACCGACACCGAAACATCTTCCTTCAGGGTCAGGAACTCATCATCTTGTCTGGCTACAGCAAGACCTCCCACATTTCCGACAGAGATTCTTGCACTCCTGCATTCGTCCATTCAAAATTGGCACGATGGATGGTCGAGTTCCTCGCAGGAGGCTTGAGGCATGCAGAATCTCTCCTCGCATACGTCGCATACGGCGCCACCGCCCATCATGAATACAATACGTACGTTTTCTTCTCGTCCTCTCGTCCCCCCTGCATTCTCACCTCATCCCAGCTTCCTCGTGATGGACGACGGTCGTAGAATAAACCCGGACCAATGGTATTCCATATTCTTGCAGGTAAACCGAGAGCAATTCCAGTGTGCCTGGGGCGTACGTGACTTCAGACATGGCGCCATAGCCATGGCTAGGGAATTCATCTCTCTCAACCATGCTTTCTCTCTCGCTGATGACCTGCTGGCCGAGAGCGCGGACCACTCCACCCAAATCGACCACATCCATTATGGCAACCTCCACGGAGCCATCCCTCAACTCACCAACAACGTCATGGAGAAGCATCGCTTGCTGTCCGAGGAATGGCAGCTCTTCTGCGGCCTCGGTCCTGGTGAGCCCCAGCAACCCATTCGACAGAGAAGGTTGAACAGGCCATCTGCATCATCCCCTAATCACGGTGGATCCTCTTCCCTCGACATATCCGCCATTTCTGAGGCCGTCTCGACCAGCACCGCCGCAGCATTAAAGACTTACCTCCAGGATAACTTGGTCCCGCTCCTTCGTGATATCGTCGCCCAGGACGTCCTGCCTTCCATCCTCGATACCCTACGGAAAACGACTCAGAACTCTGCTCCTGCTCCCGCAATACAATTAGCCATCGGTACCGCGCTTCATGCGCCGGTCGAGCCCCAAGGTATGTGTCCGGCGATGTTCTCCCCTCCGAACCAGCATTTATATGGTCATTTCAGAAATACATTTCAAACTTGAAAAAAAATTCCTTCTTGTGGGCTGGTACATATCTTGGAGGGCACTTCTAGGAATGATATGAGCCAACAATGAAAGAAAACGGCGGTTGGGTTGTGGAGATATTGTCAAAATACTGACTTTTCAGCCCACCTGACATATCACATCATTGTCGACCTCTGGATGCTCTGGGACCATCACCAATCGATTCCTAGGCCTCAATAACCTCAGTTACATTGTTTTCAATATCGTTATTGAGGTGCAATATCGGAATAGTGACATAAAGGTGATCAGGGGGGGAGGAGGACCTTGTATATCTCAGGAATATGATTTTTCCAGGGAAATCTGGCATGACCATCGTGTTCAGAGGGCTCAAGAACCCCCAGGAAAAATAGTTCTGAAGGACAGGCAAGTCACATGAAGGCTAGAAAAATCGATCTTTGGGTGGGGCAGCATGACAGGGGTGGTCAACTTTGGAACATGATTTTTAGAGCGAAATCTGGCTCGACCATCGTGTTCATATGGTCAAATAACCTCTAGAATGAATCCTAGCTAAAGCCAGGCAAGTCATATGAAGGCTGAAAAAATCAATCTTTGGGTGGGGCAGCATGGCAGGGGTGGTCAACTTTGAAACATGATTTTTAGAGCGAAGTCTGGCTCGACCATCGTGTTCATATGGTCCAATAACCTCTAGAATCAATCCTATCTAAAGCCAGGCAAGTCATATGAGGGCTGAAAAAATCGATCTTTGGGTGGGGCACCATGACAGGGGTGGTCAACTGTGGAACATGATCTTTAGAGACAAATCTGGCATGACCATCGTGTTTGTATGGTTTAATAACATTCAGAAAGGTTCCTAGTGAAAGCCAGGCAAGTCATGTGAAGGCTGAAAAAATCGATCTTGGGATAGGGCACCATGACAGGGGTGGTCAACTGTGGAATATGATTTTTAGAGACAAATCTGGCATGACCATCTTGTTTATATGGTTTGATAACATTCAGAAAGGTTCCTAGTGAAAGCTAGGCAAGTCATGTGAAGGCTAAAAAAATCGATCATTGGGTAGGGCACTATGACAGGGGTGGCCAACTGTGGAATATGATTTTTAGACACAAATCTGGCATGACCATCGTGTTTATATGGTTTGATAACATTCAGAAAGATTCCTAGTGAAAGCCAGGCAAGTCATGTGAAGGCTGAAAAAATCGATCTTTGGATAGGGCATCATGATAGGGCTGGTACTCAACTTTGGAACATGATTGTCAGAGACAAAAATAGTATCACCAATGCATTCATAGGGTTCAATCACCTCGATCATGAGTCCTAGTTAATGACAAATGTGTTATATCAAGGGCTAGTGAATCGATCTTTGGATAGGGCACCATGACAGGGGTGGTCAACTGTGGAACATGATCTTTAGAGACCAAACTGGCATCTCCAATGCATTAATATGGTTCAATAATATCAATAATGAGTCCTAGTAAATGACAGATGTATCATATGAAGGGCTAGTAGGTCAATCTGTGGGTAGGGCAGCATGATAGGAGCGGTTTACTCAACTTTGAAACATGATTGTTAGAGACAAAACTGATATCACCAATCGATTTATAGGGTTCAATAACCTCGAGAATGAGTCCTGGCTAATAACAAATGTGACATATCGTGCGCTAGTAAATCGATCTTTGGATAGGGCACCATGACAGGGGTGGTAGTCAACTCTGGAACATGATCTTTAGGGACCAAACTGGTATCACCAATCGATTGATATGGTTCAATAACCTCTAGAATGAGTCCTAGCTAATAACAAATGTGACATATCATGGGCTAGTAAATCGATCTTTGGGTAGGGCACCATGACAGGGGTGGTACTCAACCCTGGAACATGATCTTTAGAGACCAAACTGGTATCACCAATCATTTAATATGGTTCAATAACCTCGATAATGAGTCCTAGTTAATAACAAATGTATCATATCACGGGCTAGTAATTTGATCTTTGGGTAGAGCAGCATGACAGGGGTGGTCAACTGTGGAATATGATTTTTAGAGACAAATCTGGCATGACCATCGTGTTTATATTGTCTAATAACTTTCATAAAGATTCCTTGTTGAAGCCAGGCAAGGAATATGAAAGCTGAAAAAATCGATCTTTGAGTAGGGCACCATGACAGGGGTGGCACTCAACTTTGGAACATGAATGTTAGGGACAAAACTGATATCACCAATTGATTCAAAAGGTTAAATAACCTCGAGAATGAGTCCTAGCTAATAACAAATATGACATATCGTGGGCTAGTAAATCGACCTTTGGATAGGGCATCATGACAGGGGTGGCAGTCAACTCTGGAACGTGATTTTTAGAGACAAATCTGGCATGACCATCGTGTTTGTATGGTTGAATAACATTCAGAAAGCTTCCAAGTTAAAGCCAGGCAAGTCATATGAAGGCTGAAAAAATCGATCTAATAATCTAATCCGAGTAGTATGGGGCATACTACCGGTCGCAACTACCATATCGGGTAGTTGCGACCGTGCGCAACACCCAAAGGGGTAGTTGTGACCGTGCGCAACTCATGCGCAACCTGGTCGCAACATGTTGCTTATACTGATTGATGATGGAAAGTAGGAGTGAAATAAGCTGTCGACGGCTTATTATTTGAAAGTGGTGATTGCGACCGTGCGCAACTACCATATCAGGAAGTTGCGACCGTGCGCAACCATAGTAAGCGTGCGCAACTACCATATTAGGTAGTTGCATCCATGCGCAACTACCATATTGGGTAGTTGCGACCATGTGCAACATACCCAAGAGGGTAAGTTACAACCAGTTGCAATAGCTA